AGCCATTGAGTGGCAATTGTGTAGAAATGCATGTGGGCAAAATCATCAGTGGGAGCACCCGGTATAAACGCAGGTGCATCCGGTCTGAACTCGAAAAAGGTCGGCTCAGAGTTACTGGCTGGCAGATCGATGCCTTCTTTGGGGCTAACAGCATCACAATGCTCACTTGGTGCTGCAGCATATTGATCACCAGAGACTCTACCGTCGCCAATTGCAGGTGGAACAGAGAAGTCAGTAAGAATAAGACTCTCTTGCGACGCTTGAAAAACTTCATCATCATCAATTGGCGATTCATCTCGAGCAAGGTGCCTGACATCATCTGATGAAAGCAATGAGGGTGATAGGTTCAAGCCAACCTCCTGTTCGGTCATTTGATCCAAGAGCTCCTGGTCCGAGAGACCTTGTTGCGATAGAGCAACTGCTTCAACTGTTGAGCAAATGAACCTACTGGTAGGAGGGACCGCAACCCGAAAATACGCACCATGGGAGATTGCACGGGGCTGGAAATCAGTGTCTGCCCATCTAGTGTGCCCATGCCAAACAAAGCAAGTGTCCGCCTCTTGCCGGCAGTACAAGTCTACGTTTGCTGAAATCAACACTGAAGATCTGGTGCAGCGTTCCGGTAACCGAACAACTGTGCGTGTGGTTGTGGGTCCAGTGACATAGTTGACTTCGAAGGAGTGACCGTGAAGTTCAGTGTCCAGAAGCACCAACTTGGCAGGTTGACCTACTGCAACATCATCAAAAATGTGAACAATAATCGGAGTGGCACCTTCAGGTGTGTCATGAGGGTATGGCAAAACCTCGTAAGCATCAATCACTTCCAAAGGGTCCCGACCGAAATGAAACGCAATTTCTTGAATCATGGTGTCATGGTCGGACCAATCCAGGAAAACACGGATTGGTGGGTCAGCAAGATGATACAAAATCGATTCATGCCTTCCCCCAGCAGTGCTTGGTGGAACAGCCTGTGAAGAGTCCGTAGCCACAGATGCAGAATACCCATCAGATACAGCATCGTTTGAGGGCGAAGATCCTTCAAGAGGAACGGGATCAACCTGTCCCTGTGCAACCCCTTCCAAGATTGGATTTCCATCATCAGGAAATGGCGATTGCTTACATGTAGTGGATGTTGGATTTGTCCTCTGCATAAACGAAGCTACGTCTTCATCAGTCCAGGCCATGAATGCATGATCGGAGGTTTTGTCAAAACACTGAGAAATGTTGGTAATGTCACCTAGTGCAATTCTTGGGTCACAACTCTCAAGCAAATTGCTAGGTTCCAAATGCGTAAAATCTTGATCCCGGATCAACACGGCCGAAGACGACAGCGGTTCCTGGGACCCTTGAGGCTGATCAGAAAAAGTGGAAGCGTCACCTAAGACTGAGGAGTGAACTTCATCAGTGGCATGAGACCCTGCAAACCTGTGCACGTCATCTGAGTGATCCCGGATCAACACGGCCGAAAGCGACAGCGGTTCCTGGGATGCTTGCAAAAGTGAACATCGTGGGCCCATGTCATGCCTACATGCGTCACGGGGAAAGTCCGAGTCGATCACCTCACACAGTTGGGAGACCCGACATGCAAACCCTAGAGCATGACCTGTTTTGCGCTTTCTAAGCTTCCACGTTTTCCCTTCCCAAAAGTGGAAGGCATCCAAATCAACTGACGTTAAGACCTGCTGAGCATGATCATGACAGACAGTGACATGGGGAGAAAAACAAACTAAGCCCTTCAATTTGTTCCTCCTGGAAAATCCAAATGCCTTGCCGGAGTTTTGAGGACCATCTGTTGGGCATGGGGAGCTGACTACCGTATCCTCCTCATGTCTGGGTTCTGAAAGCAAGTGTTTCCTTGCTACACTCCAGTCATCACACAAAACTGAAAAACGGAGCTTGAGCGCTTTGTCAACTGCAGTATGGATGTTCTGAAAACGTTCTTCCAGGCAAACTGAATGACAATATGGGAGCAAAAGATACCGACTTGGGGTGCACAGATGGCATGCTGCACAGTGCTGTGAAGAACAAGCACCATAGGCCTCAACCATCCATGAATCTCGGCACATACCTGTGGCATCATGCAGTTCATACACAAATGGAACTGACACTGCACTGCCAACCCTCACGAGGAGGGCACACCTGCACCCGGTTCGACAGAACGAGGACGTTTGTTGTGGCCACGTTCCACATCTCTCTCCTCGTCTGAAAGGATGGTTTGTACCTCTGGAGCGAGTGCCACGCCCAAAGAACCTGCACAGGATTGGAGAACTCCTTGGAGTTGTACTCTGAGTCTCTCCTCGTCGGCATCGGTTTGGTCTTCGACCTGACCTTCGTCGGCGACCGCAATGGTGGCCGCTGCCAATGCTGAGCTGTCCCCTGGTTCTTGGGTACTGAGGCGCTGAATATCGGCCCGAGCAGCTGCAATATCTGCTCTTGCTTTCTGAGCAACCTCGTGGAGAGCCGCACCATGTTTGCGGTAGGTTTCGAGCTGCGATTCCCAAGTCTTGATGCTTTCCGTGAGATGAGCCAACCAACTGTTGCGGTGAATCCTGCGCGCTTCTGCAGTTTCGGTGAGCAATTTCCGGGCTTTGTCGAGGGCTGACGTAGCCACATGGAGTGACTTCGTGACACTCTTCTTCATGCCTTGCTCTGCACGGTCGATGGCTGCGGCCGCTTCTGGTGGGCGCGACTGCACATCCGGATAAGCATCCCGTAGTAGACGGGCAAACTCTCGATTGTCTGCTTGTAACTGATGAGTGACTGCCAAAGTATTCGGATCTGTTGGAGGTACAGTGTTGGTGTTGGTCGCCAACACTGCCGCCGAATCCAGTGTGGGCCATGGGGGTGGAGCTGGAGGTGGTGGCAAGGGCGGCACATGTTGCTGCCCATCGCGTCCAGCAGCCTTTTTTCCCTTGCCTCGACCCTTGGGTGGAGGGGCTGGAACTTTTGGCTGTCCTCGTTTCTTCTTTCGACGGTTGGTTTGCTTCTGTTGAGCGGGTTGTCTCCTTGACGAACTTCTGGATGAAGCTGAGGAGTCTTCCCAATTCCGATATGTGCTGGATTGCCAGTCTTTCCAACGACTGTACGTCCAGCCATCCTGAGCTGTGTTGGATTTCTGCTGTGTATCGTGAGGCGTTCCATTGTCCCACGTGTCTCCACATCTGTCGCAAAAAGCAGCTTTCTTGCCGTTCGTTTTGCCACAGCTGGCACACTTCCACGGCCCGTTCCAATCTGCGTCCATTGCTGACTGAATGAGCTGAAGGAAGAAACTGTCTTTGGAATGATGGGGGGCCAACAAGGCCTTCAAATGCTTCAATTGCAGAGCAGTGAGCTGAATGTATCCTTTGCGGTACAGCCACCAGTTTCTGCGAGCCTTGGCTCTTTTCCTCCTGGCCAGTCTTCTGTGCGTAGACAAAGTCACGATGAGTAGATGAAGCAAGTAAAATCACCAAAATTGAGAGCAAAGAGGAGCTCATACACCACAAAAACCACTCCGGTTAAGGCAGAGACCGAAGATACCCGTCCCGAAGCGAAACTCCAGGGAATGCCGAGGGATGTAAAAGCAGTGACAAGGTCAAACCACAGAATTACAAAGCCTGGCAATGAAAATGTTGTGGGGCAAGCCAACCAGAACAACCCAGTGAAAACCAAAGGATGAACTCGAAGGAAGATCAGAGGCTGTGGCCTGCCCAGGACCACAGCCTCAAGGCAAAAGCGTCCCGCAAGCGCACGCGATGCCCGCGGAATCTGCAATGGCTTAGCGCAGTTCCGCTCAGGTTAGGAACAGCGGCAGGGGGCACCCTTGCACCCTGTGTGCGTCTGAACCCAAACCTTATTACATATATCATAATATATCATGATATATCTATGTTATATTACAATAATTATGGTACATCCAAAAATAATTAGACCATGTAACCAACATTTGTTGGCCATGGGTGGTAAAAATCATTCCACAACGGTAGGTGTAGGGCATTGGGTTTGGCACTGGCGATAGAAAATCAGATTTCCTGCTGAGAAAGGTTGGTATCACATCATTGGATTGTAACCTCATTGTTCACCTTAACTGGTTCAATGTTTCCATATCCTATATCCAATTCACATGTATTCACATGTATAATTAATAATATAAGTTCAAATTAACATACTAATTCATTTACCTTAACAATCCAATCTTTAATTGACTTGGGAACTGATTCACCTCATTGGATTGTTGCAGCATCACTAGACCATGGCTGACAAAAAACATGGCCAGGGGTCAAGATTGAAGTTCCTTAACCACAGACATATGGTTTAATATGGATTCATATGATTTAATATGGCCATATGTTTTTTTTTTGAATGTTTTTCTAAAAGAGATGTTTTGAAGCATTACGCCAGGCTTTTTGTTTTGGGGTAGTTGAGGTTGACATTATTAAGCCATGTTAAGCCACAACCATTTGACCGAGCACCTCGCTGCAGGCCAGTCTGAAATCAAGATGGGGCTCAGAAAAAAAACAGGGGCAGCCAGGAGCTGTGTTTTCCTTGCCAGACATCAACTCATGGTCATCATTAATGTCATCATATGTCATCAGTGATCATGAACAGAGTTTCTGCCATGAAAACTGGAATCCTGCAAAGTCAGCTTTGGATGCTCAGATTCGCTAAAATTCCAGTCAGCCGCAATTTCCATTCGGAGCCGTCTTCCCACATATCCGTGCACCACAGATTCGCCGCACGGCCAAACAAACATGGCAGAAAGGTGACTAAGGAACATCAGAAGCAACCTGAACTAGAGATTGAACCATCCATCCGTCACAATAATATAGCATATCATGTATCTACATCCTCCACATATAAAAATATATATAGTCTATAGTATGAATTAATATGATACACTAATATGTATATATATATATATTAATATATGTGTATATATAGTATAATGCACACACACACATATATTTATATTTATATTTATAATGTATACATCCCATGGATTCACCGAAATGGTCGGAAGTTCTCGTTAGTCCTCGTTGGTTCGGAGTGCCATGGCATCCCAACATGCCTTGGGTGCCCTGGGATGGAGTGCGCTGCAGAGGGATGCGGAGGAGGAGGTGGGCTCTGGATCTGGCAACATAATATGGTGATTATATGGTGATTCATGAAACAATAGTAGTGTTGATACTTCATTGGGTGGGTGATCATGATGATCATGATCATGATGATGATGATGATGATGATAATTTAATGATGATAATTTAATGATGATTTTATGGTGATGTTATGGTGAATTTATGGTGATTTCATGGTGATTTCATTTTTAATGATGATTATTCTTGATGATATCACAAAAAATGTGATTTAATATCTTAATAGTGGTGGTGATTTAATGATGATTAATGATTATGATTGATAATATGAATTGATATGATACTATGAAAAAAATGGTGATTTAATATGATCATGATGGTGATATGATGGGCATATTTTGATGATGAACTGTGATTTCGTGGTGATTTAATGGAAATATAATGGTGATTAGTGGGAACAACGGCTGTATAATGGTATAATGGTGATTATGTGGTGGTATGATCTGGCAACATATTATATAATGATATGGCCATTAATCACATCTGATATAAGAGGATATAATGATGATTAATTAAATGGTGATTTGACCAAAACACATGAGAACCTAAGAACCAAACATGATGGTATAATGGGGGATATGATGGAATATTGACGGAATATGATGTGCCCTCTGGTACTCAAGCGTGGCTCGCTGGAAAATCCCCGAACTAAATGGAGGTTTCTAGCTGGGAGAATTATCGAACTAATTGGGAAATTGTCCATTGCCATGTCTGTTTACCGGAAGGTATCCATCTTCAATGGAATATTCATGGGATATATAAGATTGACACTGTATAGATAATGATAAAGAATGATAACCTGTAGCATCATTTTCCCCTTGTCCAGTCTATGGCCATGTCGAGGTGTTAATTTGTTCAATGGGAATACAATGGGGATATATAGTGAAAATTGATGAAAATCGTAACTATAGTTAACCAACATTTATTTATTCGAACATCAAAAGGACCATTTACCCAGGGTTTACCCAATATATCAGGGATGATCAGTATCCATGTTCATTGGGAATCCCGTTTTTCACCACCCAGGATTACCATTGAATGACAATTTGAATGCCAGAGGCGCGGGCTGTGGCGATCGCCAATGACTTGGAAAGAACATTTGCTGACATGCCCATGGCCATGCTCTCAGTATCGGTGTTTTGAAACATGCTTTGATATGGGTTGATGCATAGTATATCTGGTTGGTTTGGAACCATGGAATTTTATGACTTTCCATCCAGTTGGGAATGTCATCATCCCAAGTGACGAAGTTATATTTTTCAGAGGGGTAGGTATACCACCAGTACATATATACACGTATATATTATATGCCATGATATACAACGGTATGATGTTGAATGATATACTGTATCGGTGCCGGGGACCCCAACTTCAGAAAACATCGTGGTATGCTATGTGTCTCCGGGGTTTAGATGAGGTGGCTCCGCGAAAGCCCCAGATCTTTCGGATTCTCGAGGCTCTGAGCTAGGGGCTTTGGGATGGATTAGCTGCTCAGCTGACAGCAGCTTCCAGCTGGGTCCCGCCAGGAGTTTGGGAATGCCAATCCTGACATTGGCTACACCCAGGGCATGCGAGGGACTCGATCACTGCAGCTGGTATGTGAGATGTTGCACTAGTTTCCAGTGGTACTCGCTGACTCATGAACAACCAAACATCTGGAAAAAATGGTATGATTTTCAGGTTTCGACACCGTTCAAGACCACGTTTCTGAATGGGTTTGGGATGAATCTGTCAGCAGATTCTGAGGAATTATGTTGCAGCAACTCTGGTGCTGAAATTTCATCCCCGAGAGGATACTGCGTGAGAGCCTCATCCAGATGCCACAGGCATCCTGTGCCATCCCGTGCCAACATGGATGATTTTTGAGGTGTGAGGTCCTGCCTTCCCATGTTTACTTCGTTCTGATAAATAACAAAAAAACCTGGTTTCTTTATATACAGGGGGTACCAATCACATCCAATCACTATTTTGCGGTTTCTGAAAACAGGGGATGCCCAAGTCATCATGGGTTAACCGGTTAACCAATACCAAGTCATGGTACATGATTTAGTAAACCTCATTCTTCCCAATATTAACCATATGGTTATTAAGTTCTTAAGTTATTAACCATTATATTTAATCACTATTAACCACATTTAACCACTATTAATCCTCCATTTCCATGGTTATTCCCTCCATTCTTTTTATCATCTTCTCGGCGACAACGAGGCGCAAGAAGTTTAACGAGGTCCTGTTGCAGTTCAACGGATTCTGGCCGGGGGACCATGCTGGGCAGATGGAGCGATGGAGCCATTGATAGACCATCTGAAATACATGGGATATATATGGGATATCCATATTGAAAAATATTAGTGATAGTCGGATGGATACATGGATATATCTGAAAAACCATGTCACAACTGTTGAAGTATTCTGCGTTGAACACCTAGTTAAATGCAAGCGTAGATGAGTATTTCATCTATGGTTCGATATTTCCAGGGCCTTCACCACTTCCCATCCGCAGTATGCAGGTCTGATGACTTTCCGCTACTTAAAGTGGGAATCTGGCTCTACCAGAGGCCGAAAAGATGTCTCCTGGTGATTTTTCCGAATTTGACAAGGTTTTGACAAGGTCGTGTACTGGGAAACCTGGATGTTGGATGGTTTACGGCTTGATTCTAGCTGTAGATAGAGCACAACCACAGCCCAGTTTTTTCGTGTTTTTTCCAGGCTCGCCGAGCGCCACTTGCCCAACCTCTATAATCACTTTGAGCGCAAGGGGCTGAGGTCCCAAAATTGATCAAAATTGGATGATGGGAACATTTATAGGAAAATATAGGGCACCTCTAAAAATGGTGGGCAACCAGATCCTAACAACCACGCTTTCCGGCGTTTCCGGTGAAGATGTTCCCCAAAAAAGCCACTGAGAAAAAGACGGCTGAGACCCAGGTTGTGGGGTGGAAGCAATGAGCTTTTTGCCCAATGGAGCGGTGCCCAGATGAGAGCCACCTTGGGTCTTGGGATGACATGGATGACGCGGGGGCCAATGTTGGAGATTCCGACGGTCGATAGATGAGTCTGAGGTTGGCTATCCTTGTTTGGCCATCCCGGCATGAGTTTGATCCCAGGGGTCCAGATGTAGATTTGCAGGGTCAGGCAGGAATCGAATGGATGAATCCCTGCATTGGCTGAGCCAAAGTGATGAAGCGTTGCTGCAGTTGCTGCTTGGCTTTTTGTTTCAAACGTACCTCATCCCATCCACTGGTTCATCATCCTTTTTTCCCAATCAACCATGCAATAGACTGGGGGGTCATTTTCAGACACACCCATGCAGGTAAATGGCTGCCATTGCCAGCCGTGATTGAGGCCGGGCGTGGCTGGACGTTGTTTTGGCGGAAAAAAACACACGTCACATTTCCGTACAAACTGCAGGCGATCCCCAAAAGGTCAACCATGGAAGTTTTTGGTCATTTCTTAGAGTTTGCTCTGGTAGATGGCCCATCTAGTTCGATGATAAATCCCGTGTTTCAACAAAGAAAGCAGTGTCAGCGGTGATTTTCCAGTTCGCAAAGCGGCGCAATTTCAGGCCATGGATTTGTTCATCGAATTCGGACTTCGTGGAGTGCTTGCTGGGGCCCCAGACGGGGGTGCACCAGCCCTGAGAGAATTCTGGGAGACGATGAAGTTCTTATTGTAAATGATACCAATCTCTGACAACTTGGTTATATTATATTATATGGTTATATGATATATTACTATGGTTATATGATGCTTTGTAAATGAATCCAGCAGCCATTCTCTGACCCGTCTGGCGCGTTCCAGTGGCTGTCTTCCAAGGCTGTGACTTTAGCATTGTTTCACATGCAGCAGCGCCGTTTCATGGCTTGTCGGGCGATGGAACATGTGTGGGGCACCCTAGCCCTAGCAGTGGTCAGCAGGGGGGTCAGCAAGCCTTTTTCTTTGCAGAGTATAGACAGAACATATACAGAAATCATCAGAAATCCAAGATAATCCAAGGCAATTTTTGATTTGAGCACTGCCGATTTGACAAATTTGACCGGTAAGGTAGCCGATTAAATCCGGTTCTGAATTGGCCTCGCGGGATTTCATCAGATGCCTTCATCCAGCTATTCATCCATGTTCTGCCTGTGGATTTACGATGACTACATTGATCCCTTGGTAACAAGATTGGGATCGCAGGATGGAATTTTTAATTATCGTTGGCTTTTCCCATCCTTTTTTTGTGAAAACAGCTCCATTGAAATCATTTGACACCCCACTTGCTGGCCACCATGATATTATTAACGATATTTGGTACAGGGTTTAAGCGCATTTTGGTGGTTAAGATACCAGATCATACCAATTCTTAGTTGGTAGATGGAATTCATAGTGTGTCGGCACCAGAACCATCACATCTTTGGTATGGCTTCTCCTATCAACCTTTACGATCCACTGTTGTGGCTTGGGGAGTGCTGGCAACCATGTGTGGGTGACATGTTTGGCTCCCCTCAGGTTTTGATATGACACCATATCTTCCAAGTCCAAAGTTCCAACTCAGCAATCAGAGATTACAATTAATTACACCATATTGCCAGATATTACACCATACACCATATTTAACTAGCCCATATTAGCCCATATTAGCCCATGGTTTGATATGTTTGGAGCTTCTCCCCGAAGCTTCTCCCCGGAGCGTTTTTCGGCCCGTCCCCGGTGCTCCCAGGCTGGAGCTCATCAACCAAGACATGCGTTCGGCGCCCATCGACGGAGAGTTGCTGGTGAAGTCTGCCCGGCTCTGGTACCTCGGCCAAGACATTGCTGGGGGTGTAACAAAAATATCTGGTTGGTGGTTTGATGATGGTTGATGCGACACATAAATTGGAGGATAAAAAAAAATAAAAAATTGGTGGTTTGGAACATTTTGGAACATGGGATTATTAATGGGGATTTTTGGGGATTATTCATGGTTAATACTGGTTAATAATGGTGAATTATTAGTATCTGGTTGGTGGTTTGGAACCATGGAATTTTATGACTTTCCATTCAGTTGGGAATTTCATCATCCCAACTGACTCATATTTTTCAGAGGGGTAGGTATACCACCAACCAGAAATATACGTAATACTTTTCGTTTGGTAGCTGTTTTTAGGACAAATACCGATGATGAACCATGAGCATCCATAACATCAACATCAACCCATTATCGAATTCAGCGCAAACTATAGGTCAACTTAGCTCTCCTAGGAAAGCCCCACGGGGCCTCACCGAGCCAAGGCTTCCTTCGGTGAACCGCGCGGTTGCTGAGTCCTACGGGATCTCAGAGGTTGATGACGTGGATTTGGCCTGACTGGATCGAAGCGAAACCAGCCATGCCATTGAGTGAAATAAATCCCTCATTCCATTTCATCCTGGTTCGTTTATAGGGATTCCCCGTTCTTGGATCATTATAATCCCCAATATATATATATATGTATTATATAATATGGGGTAGTATAATCCCCGAACTAATCATCAACCAACAGGGGTTTTGAACAGTGCTCATTTGGGAACGGTAAACATACCACCAAGCAAAAAATGGTGGGATGGTTATATCCTGATATGTCCTGATGCCTAATTAGAATGACTAAAGCATGTATATATTTAATATACAATTGATGTCTAATACACCAGTGTCATTATGTGTCATTGTTTTTTCAGTGATGCCAGTGATGTTCTAACTTTTATCTCTGCATTTAGTTGTCTAGTTCATGATAACATGATATTCTGTGACTAGCGTGTAGTGCTCTGGAAGGATGAAGAGACTCTTGGGCCGTACACAAGTTCTTGCCACAAACCTTTCCTTGTTTTGGAACGGTGCACTTTTGCTTAGCTCATCGATTCACTGTTGAAGATAGAGGCCATTTCTCTGGGACGCTGTTCTGCAGAACCTTGCGGAAGAGCGTGTGGAGCTGATGCAAAATGTAGGAGCTGATGCCTTTCGAAGTCGTGTTCTAACCTGTGACCCTCTTCGCTTAAAAGGAAAAGGATCTCGCTGCCAGATTCGGTTAGATCCAAGTGGCTTCGCGGAGTGGTACGATATCCCATTCTTTCCCCATAATCACTATGACTATGACATTAATATGACCATCTATGACCATCAATGATTGTCATCAATGCGACCATTCAAACCTCATGTTCAAATGTTCCATGATTTCCCCAAGTTGTTGGCCATGGAAAAAAGGTGAACCATACCCATGGGATCATCAAAAAACCAGCTGCTCGTGTCGGTGTCTGCGAATCCATTTTTTTCGGCTCAGATCACAGGTGGGGTGATGTCCCACCAGCCGAATGTGGAGATCAGTGGAATCAGTGGATGATTCATGGCTTTTTTCTTGGGAAAATTGGTCACCGGAAACGCCGGAAAGCCATGGCTTTTGACATTGTTTTGACCATCATGATGATGGGGGTGTCCGGGTTCAATTTTCCAATGAATGATCTGATGCCCGGTTATTTAAAACATTTCAATACCAGGATTGCCATCGGCATAGTGTAGGCATGTCTAGGCTCATCCTGGATGGATTGCAGCTGAACGTAAGAAACAACGATGGCCGCGAGGTCAACCATCTCTTGAATCCAAAGTTTGAAATCACATGATGTTGAGGTCTGAAGAAAGAACAATGGTCAGAAAGGTGGTGAAATTTCAGATGGTAAAGAAGGATGGTTGGGGATACCATTTGCAGCTTAGATCCAAGTCCCCTTTGGAATCCCAGCTCAGCTTTCAGCTCAGCAAACGGTTCTGCCGAACGGTTCCCAACATGGGCGTCAGGGGCTCCATGGGGCACCTGAGTTGAGGGCATGACAGAAGAAGCACCAGAGGCAGGCGATACGGCACTTATGGTTGGTGAAATGTCGCGTATCCATGTCCCTTGTACTTCAAAACACGAGCTGGAGGATGTTGATGTGGGATAATTATGTGTATATATAATATATATAATATGTGTATTTCATGCGACGAACTGACCAAGTCTCTGGTATTTTGCCAACATTACAGCTCACGAGACTGTTAACTATAGAATGTATATGAATACATTGTGGGGTACCAGAATATAAATCATAGAACATATTACATAAAAATCATCTATATGTCTACATGATTACAAGATACTAGAAGTAAGACCCCAGAAACAGCCAGCCGAAATATGCCAAACAGCAAGACGTTGAACGAATTTTCTCGCCTGTCAATGTCTGTTCAGGTGGCCGGGGACACGTTGAAGCAGCGCATTGAAGAGCTGCTGAAGGTGTGTCATGGTCAACTTTGTTGGATTCATCAATCCATTTTCATAGGTTGATGATAGCTTATTTGGATTTATTTTGATCAATCCATTGGTCTATGTTCATTTGTTATATTTCTTGGTATATATATGGAGGTTTCCATAGGGTACTCCAAATCATCCAGTTGTCATGGATGACCATGACTTGGTATGGAAACCTTTGGCGACTTGAGGATCACCCATTTTAAGAACCACCCATTTAATGAGATACCCTCTGGTGAACTAACATAGCAATGGAAAATGGCTATTTATAGTGGATTTTCCCATTAAAAATGGTGATTTTCCATTGCTATGTTAGTTCACCAGAGGGTATATGATATATAGCTCTATATCACCAATGAAAAGCTGCAGCTGATAGTTGGACCTACATGATCCAACCACTGATAACATCGTGATTTCTGAATGATGGGGAATGATGGGGATATGAAATTTGGGATATTTCATGGAATATAGAACCAACTATAAATGAGAGTTGGATGATATACCATGATATACCATGATATACTATGATATTCGGAGAAGGTCATCAATCCATTCAAAGGGATTTCTACTCCGATTATCAGGATTTCCCAGTATGGGATGGATGACGATTAACCATATACTATGTTTTGAGCATACAATGAATGTAGAAGTACGCTACAACTACGGGAAGAAAGTATTGAGGATGGACAAATGTTGCGCATAAGCTGAGGTACACCCCGTATCATTCTGGCCATATACCCAGATACCTAAGGGACCTGCACCCCCAAGTACTCTCCAACTTAGATCAACTTAGGATGATTCATATCCAAGGATATTCAACATACCCTCTGGTAATCAAATGTACAGTCATGGGAATTTCCCCATAAACGGAGGTTTTAGCAGGAAAATAATCTATAATAATCTATAAATGAGGAATTTTCCATTGTCATGTTTGATTACGTGAGGGTATCTGTATAACTTATATAAGAGTGAGAAGAGATATCTGAAGATCCTAGGTTTATTTGGTCCGTGGTTCCCAAAGTTTGCCCTATACACATTGGGCGTTTGCCAACAGGAGCGGAGCGAATGGGAGCAAGAACGCGCTCGCTTGCGTTCGACAGCTCAGACATCTTGCTTTTGGATGGCAAAAATATATGTGCAATGGTCAACAGTTAGATTATATAGATTCTACTCATAAACGGTAAGATGGGCATCAATCCATCAATAGGTCAATAGGGACTGCCATCAATAGGGAAGCTATGCCATCATATCAGATAAAGCATATGGGGGTTTCCTAAAATAGGGGTACTTTAAATTCATCCCAGTCATTAGACCATGACTTAGTATTGAAACCCCATGGTTTTGGGGTACCCCGACTTTAGGAAAGCCTCCTTTTTTCAGCATTTTGAGCAACACAGCGAAAGATGCGACAGACGGTCACCATCCGACCATGTTGGGAGTATCAAGCATCATTTGACCTGGTGACCGACGTGTATCCAACGGCAAGGGTGCAGCCTCTGAATTTGACCATCTGGGGTTTCCTAAGTCATGGGGGTACCCCCAGTCATCATCCATTTGATGTTGGGATTTTTCGGATTTCCCATGAAATGAACCAGCTATTGAGGATCCCCCATTGCTATCTTGCGAATGATATTGGCCCAAAATATAAGGTGAGAACAGATCTGTATGTATTGGCGGTTTATCAAAAACTACTTGCATACTGTTAGTGGTTCTCATCAGCCCATATCTATCGATTATTTATCCGATTATATTGTACCCCATAAGGACCCCCAAAATGAATAGATACAGTGCTAGAACATGGATCAATATTGGGCGGTAGAAGGCGGTAGGGATTATTTGTTCTAAGGGATGATTATTATCAGGGGAACATTATTATCAAGTATGATTTTCAAGCCATAATTGTAAGATAGTATCGTAAATTATAGACAATTGCTTATCATTACAATAGATATTAATGTTTTCTGCTTAATAAATCCCATGGATATTGTCCCAGATATGGTTATTACTGGTTAATAAATCCCATGGATATTTCCCATTTCCAAATCCCATGAATTCCCCATTAGTAAATCCCATGGAATTTGTGAATCTTTCCCATCATTTTACAAATAAATATCTGGTAAATAAACAGTTGGACCCTGAAAAAAAAACAATTTTTTAACTGGTTTCACTAGTCTTCCAACCCCGATGACTGCCAGGGTCTATGTTAATTTACCAGAGGGTAAATATCACATTAGTTGCCATGAATATCCCTCGATCCGGGCCCAAATAAGAACCCGAGGCGAGGAAGTTGAGCTCCTGCGAAGCCGCGTGGCCAAGTTGTCGAAGGCGCTGGGATTTCATGGTGGTTTAATGGGAATCCATATTATTATATTATTGATATGGAATGATTGATGATTATTTGTTTATTTAATGAATATGAATATGTAATAGAATCTGAATAGATATGTAATGATATGAATGTGAATATTAGTCTGTTGAAAATCGGATTCTAATATTCATTCAGACTCATGAAAACTTATGAAAAGTAGCAATCTAGTCAAAGATTATTATATAGTTTACACAGCTATGTTCAATGAGTACTTAGCTATCAATTGAGAAACAAAATCAATACCTAACATATGAACCCAGAGTTTTAGATGGTCCATACAAACAAACCTATTTCTGGTGATATTGGGGTTATTGGAGATGGTTTATTACTGGGTTTACCAGGCTCAAAGATCATCATCTTCCCTCTTCATTCCGGGCAATTTTGGGGCTGCACGTGGAGCCCAGCTTTGAGACACAATAATCTATGACTATCTATGATAAATTATCGATAAATTATCGATAGATTATCCAATCTCTATCTACATTATCTACCCATATCTACCCATATCTACCCATCTTCCTACCTACCTAGCTATTCTATTCTATCTATATCTATCTATTCCATCAGTCTGCCTGTCTGTACATCAAAATTCCTCCCATCCCAGGACGGAGCCGAAGATGTCGGCGCCTGCGATGCGCAGACGCAGACGGAGCCCGACGCTGAGCAGGTGCATGGCACAATCGAAAGCGTTGGATTTACCGATCTGAAAAATGGGTGGATCTTTCCAGTTCGTTATGTAAACGCTTTGCCAGAGGCTAATGGCAATTTTAAGAGGGAAATATAGGGGAAAATGATGACTATTTTACAGTGGAAATATAGGGGTAGCCTATCTTCAAAGAAACCTAGAAGCTGAGTTTATTTTTTATCCAATGATGTGCACTAAATATCCCATGAATATGCCATTAGTTGCCATAAATGGATCCATTTGGGACGTGAAACCACTACCAGTCACTACCACTGGGATATCCGTTTGTATCTGTGAAGATGTTACTGGCGAATGGCCAAGAGTTCGGGCTTGTGTCATGGTACAATATCCCACAGGGAGGGCCCTCCCCGACAGTCATTATAAGTTGGTTTGTGTTACAGCATCAAACTACAGATACATCCAATCTAAGCTTATCTAACCATAGATATATCCACCATAGATATATCCACTGTAAATCCCCTAGATATCTCCACCAGTGCAATGAAACAACAGAACTCTTGAACTTGCGGGGCGACCTGGCATGGCAGGATGTGACTGTTCCAGCTGAACAGGTCGGGCCAACATGGTGCAGCTGGGGTGCCAACATGGTGCAGTTCAGGATTTAACCATCCCATTTTGGGGGACTCAAAGCCTGACAATTCCAGGTCGTATCCATGTTTAACGGCTGTATAGATTTATCAACAACCACCTATTAGTGATTGTACAATTCTAAGATTTATAAACAACCACTATATTCTAATTATAGAGTTATAAACAACCACTATATTCTAATTATAGAGTTATAAACAACCACTATATTCTAATTATAGAGTTATAAACAACCACTATATTCTAATTATAGAGTTATAAACAACCACTATATTCTAATTATAGTGTTATAAACAACCACTATATTCTAATTATAGAGTTATAAACAACCACTATATTCTACATTATTTTGATTCAATTTCGAAAAACAGCTTGAGAGAAGACTCAGCCAAAAAATGTTCATCCAACTAGTTGAATTGTTCCTAGGTGCATTTATCCAAGGTAGTACTACCCTCTGGTAATTTAACAGTTCGCTATTGAAAATGGCCCATTTATAGTTGATTATTTACCAATTAAAGATGATGATTTTCCACAGCTATGTTAGTCTACCAGAGGGTAAATCCCAGCGAGTACTTGATAAAAAAAATTGATCAGAGATCCCAGGATGGCTTGCCTGGTGTGTTGGCGAAGATGCTTCGAAGCCCACAGGTGGGGCTGAATCCCAGTAGGTAGTGGTTGCATGTTGCACGCCATGGAATATCCCTTGGATGGACGAAACAACTTACGACTCCGTTTGACACACCCAAGTAGCATCAACTGCCCCACAAAGCCAAGAAATATTTCGGAAAAAAACATATCTGGTTGGTGGTTTGGAACATGTTTTATTTTTCCATAATATATGGGAATAATCATCATCCCAACCGACTAACTCATATTATTCAGAGGGGTAGGGCTCAACCACCAACCAGATATGTTTGGATGGTCGGTTTAGAGCCGCAAAAAGCCAGGTCAGGGCCCGGATCTAAAACTGGGCTTTTTCACCAAACCTTGACAGTTTGCGAACTGGAAAAAGGTCCACCATTTTATATATTTTATAGCTGGGTAAATCAACGAACTTTCGATGATCATTGAAACAATAGCAAACTGTTAGTCAGACTACCAGAGGCGATTTTTCATTTTTTGCTGATCAGGACGAGACTCTGCAACTGTCTGGCATCGAACAGCTCTTTGTGGAACAAACACAGGCGAGATTCGGCGAGTTGCTGCCGACCTGACGACCTGACGTCCCCGGAAAATTCACGCGGCTGGAAAGAAATGCTGGTTTTTAAACCTCCGTATTTACTTGGGGTAAATCATGAAAAACCAGAGTATGTCCTCTAGAATCCGTTTGGATCAGATTTTCCCTTGAATCATTGCATGTATACTGGCGGTCCCTTTTTTCGCCTCAGCATTCTGAGAGAACGTAAGGACAAGGAGAAAACATAACAGTTGCAATGTGCATCCCTGACAATCTGGAAGCTCATGCTTGGAATTTCCGCGCTTGGCATCTTGGAACCCAATCCCAACATCTGATTTCCACAGCTACACATGGAATACCTTCCACATTCTTTAGGGGCTGTGGTGGCTCAACCACCAAGCACATGCTTCTTGATTCATCGATGATTTTCCTCACCTTTGCTGCGCTCCCATATTTCTTCGCTCTTCGCCTTACTATATGCTCATGTTATCACACGAGTCGTATACTTTACATATTTCATTGGCATAGCTCGTATCGACTCGAGATTTGTAAGCGAACTTCTTACGTATGTCTGAGAACAATGGCATCCGACATCTGCAGAAATTGGCATAGATTTGGAAACCCCATGGCTTCCCGTGTGGAAAATCATATCCCAATGGCGAGTTGTTCCACATATTTTTGTATGTTTACAAGACGCCGGTATGTATCATATAGATTGGGGACTACTCTAAACCCATCTATACCCATCTTTAGTTATAACATGTTATAACATGTTATAACTACTATAAACCCCAGCTATCATAGTTATAACATGTCATAACTGCTATATTTCATGGCTTTTATACGCCCAATACCAATCGATCGATTTCTGACAGAAGGCATCCAGCACTGCCACGCCAGGCGGGCGCAGCACAAGTGGAATCTACTCCGCAGTTGCATCAAAGCCTGGAGGTGCGCAGCTGAAACCGTTGAGAATTTCACCGGCCAAATGGACAGGGACAGGTCATGGGATATTCATGGGATATATGATTCACCCAAATTTTGGTGATTTTCAAATGGAGGTTTCCTAAGTCATGGGGGTACCCCCAAATCCTCAATTTTAATGGTATTTTAATCCATTCTAAACCATCCAGCTATTGGGGTACCCCCATTGTACCCCCATTTATATACGGAAACCCCCAGATAGGGAAGATGTCATGCGATTTTTCTAGTGACTAGTTCACCCACTTGTCAGGATCTGGGTGTCTCTGAGAATGTGGTACCCTATTATTGGACACACCCAAATTGGAGTTCCTCGAAATATGCAATGGTCATAGCCAGAATAGATCTCCCAAAATCGCCCAAATTTCTGACCCATCTCCGTGCCGCTGGCAGGTGGCTGTGGCCATTTTTCTTCACCATCAGAACAACTGGACCTTGCTCCTGAAGGCTGTTAAAAAAAGCGCCGGGGTGGTGAGGTTTCATTGTTGGAGGTAGAATATCACAATAGATGAACATATGTTATGTTGTTTTGTATTTGTATCATAATGTTATGTATTTGATTTTATCAACCATGTATAATATATATATATATTATGTGTTATGTTATGTATATGTTATATTTTATTGTACTTGGATTTGCCCATTTTTTTTAAATTGGAAATCCACTACTTGGGGAATCTTTGGGGAATATATTGGCAGATTACTACATATACTATTATTATTATTATATTATTATTTGTTTAGGGTTTCTTTAGCAAATCTAAGTATGTTATATTGTATTTGTTGTATAATGTTATCATTATATTATATCATATTGTGTATATATATAATATTATGTATATGTTATACAGTACCATATCATATACGCAAATGTGTCAACAGATTTCCAGTTTCATACTGCCACTTCGACTTGCTCGCTCCATGCCAGGCCTCACAGTTTCTGTCGGTCTTGCTGGCAGCACCATCCTCAGTGGCGTCCAGTGCGGAAATGTCACAGGTTTGATTTTTCGATCCGAAATCTGATGATTATTGATGATTATTGTATAAAAGATTTGGTCGGATCCCCCAGGCCGTGTCCCCAAGCTGAGACGTTGGACACACCTTGTGCACTTGCCCAGTGGATCAAGAGCTTCGAGACGTGCCGCGCGTTGTAGGCGCCATGTCCAGACGGTGGCCGGGCCGCAGGGGGTTGGCCGCTGTGGCCGCTGTGGCAGTGGTCAACCTGTGTTTGGTGCTGCCATCGGCCTTCCTCTCTGCCACCCGGGGGCCCCAGAATTCGCGGCCATCCCGAACTGCCAGGAGGCTAGGGCCTAGTGGAGGCAGCGACCCCGTGAACAACGTGTCCCCAGAGATTGCTGAGGCTGGAAGAAAATATGCTCAACGCTATGAGGATATCATGCTGGCCGGCAGACAGCTGTGGGCACAAATGCAGAAGAAAGAAGATGTGCCAGACAAAATCTATTTCATTGGCACCAATGGAAACACCGGAAAGCTGATAGGCGAGGCTCTGATGGATGGATTGGCTTATGTTCCGGCCCCAGATGGCACCTTTTTCCTTCGCCGCAAGCCGGGGGTGGAGTATCCCAAGCTGATCTACTACCTGGTGGATGCCGACGAGGAGCTCGGCAAGAAGGCCCCCAAGTCTGCGGTGGATTTGTACATGGAGGATCCCAACGCCTACCGGGAGATTGAGACCAGTGTTTCCTGGGCAGAATTTGTTATATTTTGTTGATGTTCCCAATGGGAAATCCACGGGGAATGGGAACTACTTGTAAGACTAACTATTGTTTGTTCTTTTTGCAAGGCCACAAGCAAATCACTCAGGTTTTGAAGGAGTTTCAAGAGCTTGAGACCAATGGAATTCCTGCTGGAATTGTGGTGGGTGAGAGTGCGGTGGATGTCCCCGAGAATCTGGAGATCATGAAGACGGGTCTGGTGGTTTGGATCGATGTAGCGCCAGAATTTAGCTGGAGCAAAACTCAGATGCGACCCAAACCCGGAGGAGGTCTCTTCATCCCCTTTGAGAGGGTACGGCCACCAGTGTGGTGCATTGCCAATGGCTGGGATGGTGACATTGATGATGGAGAGGCCAAGGCGGACTACATCGAAATGGTGACCCAGTATGGTGAGAAATACGAAGCTGGTTGGTTCTTTTCAATAGTTTTTTTTTTTTTTTAAATGTTTTTTTCATGTCCCATCCTTTTCCATACCTGGGATATTGGGATGAAACATGTCAGAACCTACTGATATTATTATATATTATTAATATTATTGACATTTCTTTTGAAACACCTTAGAACCACCATTCAACCGTATTAAAACATCATTAACTACTATGTTTCAGAGAGATTTTTTAAAGCACCAACAGTCTCAGGAAGCCATCGCGGACATCCGACTGAGAGCTGACGTTCCTGGCATTGCTGAGAACCAGTACTGGGGTGCTGAACGCCTGGTGAAGGCCATCGCCGAGCTCTATGGCATCAGCACGGAGGGCGGATCCGTTGAAGAGGAAGTGCTGGAACGAGACTTGGAGAAATTTTTGGAAGGCGCTCGCCTCTCCAAGTATCTACAGCCAGCATTGGATTGGTGTGATGAACAGGGCGCAGCAACCATTGAGGACATCGTGGAGAATACCGATGACTTCGCAGATGCCCTGAGTTTGAAGCCACTGGAGCGAAAGCGCTTGGCGAAAGCAGCAGAATCCGTGGCTGCCATGGCGTAGCGGCGTAGGGCAAGGACCCCAGCCGAAGCTGCGTCCAATTCTCGTGGAAAAAAACTGGATGGCTGATCTCGTGGTTTGCGCTAAGCCGATAGCAGAGTTTCAAGTGGAAGCTGGAAGCTGACAGCAAAAAAACCATGACCGCATGGCTCTGGATGATATATCTTCACTTGACGTTGTTTTTATATGTTTTTATATTTTTTTTTTTTAAATCCCTAGTGGGCGTACCAGCGATCCACGAAGTTTGTGTTCCCAGGAACCTTCTGCGCAGCAGCTTCTGCCGCAAGTGCAGCTGCAAAGGACAGCTCAGGTGGAACGGTGGAACCCCCCAGATTTGGTGAGAACTGCTTCGTGCTTTGAAGAAGTTATACTTTTCCATATCTGGTTGGTGGTTTGGAACATGAATTTTATGACTTTCCATATATTGGGAAGAATCATCCCAACTGACGAACTCATATTTTTCAGAGGGGTAGGTATACCACCAACCAATCAACCAGATATATTTCTTCCTAAGATCTGGGATGATTCAACATAGACTAAGTGACTAAGATTTTTGGGATAGGTTGAACCTTGAAACCAACATAGGCAGATAAGAGGAGAGTTTACAGCAGAACTCAAAAGAGTTTTCACCTCATGTAGAAGCCTTAAATCCTCCGATTTCAGCAACTCGCAGCAATTCTTCCGTTGGACTTTCGGACAGTTCTGAGATGGTCCTGGATATCATATGGGTATGGTTCAAAATTTCAGATCCAGGATGCATAGGATACCCAGCATATCCAGGGATGGATTTTATGGTAACTTCTAGTAGTAAACTGTTTACAAACTATGTAAACTGAGTGACCAAAAATTCAAGATAATTCAAGGTATACCAGGTATACTCAAGTTGACCCATCCCCACTATGGGATTTTCTGAAGTCGAACCCGAAAAACGCCAGGCCGTTCTGGCTGCCAGCTGTGCCCTGTTGGAGAAGACGGCGGGCCTAAGTAGCCTCGCCACCCAAGCGGGGTATCAGGTGGGGATCAGCGATGACGTTTTTTTGCGGTGAGACCAGGAATTTACCATGTAAAATTCATATTAATGACCTGATCATGCCTGATCATATGCTGTTAGAATCTGATTAAAGACAATCAGGCTGGACTTAGGATGAGTTGTCGATGGCAGATTCTTTGAGCCCTGGGGTGAAGCTATGCCATTTGCTGAAGCTGTTCCTGTATCCGGATGGCGTTGCTGGAGTTCAACTTGAATATTATCAGACCTTAAAGTTATGAGCCCAGCAGTGTGACGGACTCTGTGATAGATTTGTTTGTTTCACTGAACATCCACAGATCGATATACCTATGTATATTAAATATGTATATATATACAGTATATATATATACAGTATATATATATATATACAGTATATATATACATACACGGTGTGTGTGTATATATATATGTGTTTAAACATGGCCGGGCGGGCCAAGGAAAACCTTCCCGGAGGTAGTCCAAAACAGCTGTTCGTATATTTAAAAGTCCGTATATTTAGATATGTATATATATATATATGAATATGATGATCTTCCAACATGTTCTCACATTTTGCAGCAAAACATACCCTCAACTCATCCCCGGATGAATAAAACATGGTAAACCATGGGCTGTAACCCATTGGTAGAGTAGCATTTTATATTACCATAATCGTAGTTACCATTTACCATATCCAAAATTCCTGGGGGAAGCCCGAAAACATCCACTGCCCCAGACCCAACCAAAATCCAAAAAGGTCCAAGGGATTTAAAGGATCCGTCGTGCCAGACACGCCAGGCTGCGGCTGGTGCACCCAGCCCCCAGAAACTCTTCACCTGGCTCTTGTCCCTGTTGTCCTTGTTGCTGCCAAGCGCTCAGACATGCTCAGACCTGACGGGGGATGAGTTTAGCTGTTGATACTGTTGATGTCTTTGGTGCGAAGGTGGAAAGAAAACCACTTGAGGTACACAGCAACGTCAGGAAGTGAATGATGGGACGTATTCCCAAATGACCCAACTTTTCAGCCAACTGAATATTTGTTTATTCAGTAGTTCTTCTGTGAGATATGAGTGGTTAAATTCGTTCAAATTCATTGCGGTTGATGAACCACCTAACTAACCACTATTACAGTAACTCTTTAACAGAGTTTATTACTAACCACTATTACTAACCACTTAGTTTACTACTAACCACTATTACTAACCACTTAGTTCATTACTAACCACTATTACTAACCACTTAGTTTACTACTAACCACTATTACTAACCACTTAGTTCATTACTAACCACTATTACTAACCACTTAGTTTACTACTAACCACTATTACTAACCACTTAGTTCATTACTAACCACTATTACTAACCACTTAGTTCATTACTAACCACTATTACTAACCACTTAGTTTACTACTAACCACTATTACTAACCACTTAGTTCATTACTAACCACTATTACTAACCACTTAGTTCATTACTAACCACTATTACTAACCACTTAGTTCATTACTAACCACTATTACTAACCACTTAGTTCATTACTAACCACTATTACTTTAACAAAACGGGTCATACAGCACTGAAATCTCCAGATGGCAAGACCTTCCTTCAAGGCCGAGCCTCGAAACTTGGCTGCGGCAGCGACCACAGAGCGAGGCGCGCCGCGTTTTTGCGGCGTTTTTTTTTTGGCCCCAGGAGGTGAAGAGAAAACACAGTTGACTATACCCTCTGGTAAATTAACATAGACCCTGGCAGTTGTCGGGGTTGGAAGACTAGTGAAACCATTAAAAATTGGTGATTTTCAGGGTCCAACTGTTTATTTACCAGAGGGTAACGTATAATGTGGGTGAAACAATAGGTAAACAATATTCAGAAAACTATATGGAAAATATGGAACATGTGGGTAAAACAATGTCATAAACCACAAATTTGTTTGGGAATGGTTTATATATATATCAACAATTTATGGTGATGACTGGGGGGGTGGTTTATTATTGTTCAAACCACATTCGATCATTTGTTGGATAGGTTGTGAATGGTCTCTCAAGTTATATTATGATTATCTCATATATGTAATATGGTCTTGATTGATCTTGATATTCACATATATTCACAAAACTCATCAGTGCATGATTTGTAAACCCATTTTGCATGTTGGTTGGGGGGAGAATTTCGTCAAAGGGCTTCATCACTCTGTGGCTCGGGTCTTCCCGTAATCTCAAAATCCACAAGTATTGCTGACCCTGGTTGATTCATAGGGGGGTCCATTTTCCCCAATTATATCACTTTTGTGGGTAACCCAGAAATTAATGAATTGACAGGGGTTGTTCATCCAGAATTTGACATTACAATGGGACATGTAATGTTGCACCGTCATCACTATTTTGATATATATATAATTATTGATCTAAATCTATCTATTTTGACATAAATGTTATCGATTCTTGTTGATGTCTACCTCAGGATAAGCTGTAGAAGATCTAGACACAGACACGATGCAGCAAGAACCATAAATACATATAGATACCATCCGGCAATCAAAGAAGGACTGGCATATAAATACATATAGATCCCAGCCATCCCGGCCAGGCCTTTGTTCATAGTTTGATGCACGTGACGCCCTGAGTGTATGATTTCGTATGGACTCCATCCATTTTTCACAGACAACCACGAGGTTTTCAATGATAACATGGGAGACACAGAGACACAGTGTATATCAGATTATTTTATATTATTTCTCCCACGCTTGCAAAAAACATCCGAAAAGGTTGAGGCATACTTGAAGCCGTTGATTCGGAATTCCTGAACTCAGGGTGTTGTCAGTCGATTGCTGGCAGCTTCCGAATTACCTTCAGAGGTGTGCCACGATTGGGTCTTGTGATTGAAGTTTACTGAAGCGGTTGGTCATTTTACTTTCATTCCTTGCAGATGCTAAGATATCCTGAGGTAATTGAACATGGCTGTGGAAAATCACAATTTTAAATAGGTCATGTTCCATAGCTACATCATAGCTACATTGAATTACCAGAAGATACGTTTGAAACCTTGCCAGGAGGTATTCCTTTGTCAACTGAAGGTGATGTCTTTGTGTTGAGTGGATCATGGTGGTCGTGAGAGTCCTGCAAATTTTTGAGGTCCTTGGCCATGTCAAATGCCCACACTTTGCCAAGCCCAACTGATGTTCTTCATAATTTTTCGACATGCGTTGAAAGCAGGAAACTCAAATGACAAGTACTCTGATGCTTTAGGTTTGTGTATATGGGGGGATTACCAAAATGGGGGAATCCCCAACTCGGAAATTGGGGAATCGCCAATTTTTTTCCAAATGGTCCAATGTCGCTGATCAATCCGCCAGGCCTTGATCCTGAAAAGCGTGCAGCTCCTACCACTGCTGCCCATGGAAACCTGGATTCAGCAGGTGCGGCGGATGGCGGATGGGACTCCAAGCAGGCATCGACGACTTGACGCTGATCCCACTGATCCCCATGTTTTCTTGGAAAACTCTACCCAGATATCATCAGATATCCATTATCCATGGCGGATTTGCACTTAAATTCACATAGTCATATATATTTACTGTAAATCACCCAAAGCAAACCAAAAAATCACCTAGATACTGTAGCCATCATATATAATTAGAATTACTGACTTATCCCCCCAAAGCATCATTTTTCTACCAACCGCTAGCCCTGGAATTCCATGGATGGCGCCAGATGTGCTTGGAGAGCGGCGCCATCCACTCCTTCGCTTTGGTCAGACAGCGCTTGGCCTCCAAACGAGGTGGGCAGATAGGATTATTGCTCTGGTAAAAGGTAGAGAAAGTTACTTCAACATAGATTTCAAGGCATGTTTGACAGACGTTCCAAAGGTTCATGTCAGTATGTGTTGGTCATGTGTAATTCTTGTCTCAAAGTGATCAACATGTCATGTTCAGGGAAGAGCTTTAAGTTATCAATCCCGCAACCTGAGCCTATATGATTATCATAGTATGTTTGACATGTTTTCATCCCATCTCCCATTCATATTAAACACCCCCAATAAACCCAGAGTGTTTCGCAGGAAAAACATGGATGTTTCCAGAAAAACATGGCGACCTGGGATCCCCCATGACTTGAGAAACCCATGGCGATATAGATATCATACCACCTTTGAAATTATCATATTCCCATGGTTTTGTTATAATATGTACCATTAAAATCCATGAACACCTATTAACTATAGATATTATAACATATTATAACAATATGGATATTATATAATATATACAATCTCTCTCTCTCTCTCTATGTATATATATATATGTATATTATTATTATACCATGAAGATATAACATTCTGGATACACACTTGGGACCCGTCCAGATGGACAAGTCATTTGAGACTCGGACGAGTCCAGGAGGCGATCCGGGCGATCTGCAGGAGGTGACTCTGGCGAAGGTGTGGTGTCGGTTGATGATTCACTAATTAAGCATGAAATGATTGGGATTATTAGTGATATTAGTGATATTAGGATATATTAGGGATTATGATAAAAAAAATAATGATATTATATTAGGGATATTAGGGATATATTATTCACTATCATAAAAACAATAATGATATTAGTGATATTAGGATATATATTAGGGATTATGACACAGATTTTAACTCAAACTATGGGGATGTAAGTAGAACTGATGAATCATGGTTGATGATGATTCGTTGGGACAGACTTCACCCTGCATTGTGGGAATCTGTACGAATTAACATGAATTACCCTCTGGTAATTTAACATAGCTATGGAAAATCACCATTTTTCATGGGTAAATCCACTGTAAATGGCCATTTTCAATGGCTATTTTGACATAACCAGAGGGTAACCAACCAATAGAATGAAACGACCAGCCGGGTTTGGATTCCATCGCGGCGTGCAGGCCGTTCAGAGTGCCATTCGCAGTGTGTGACAGGACCCAGGAAAAAATGGGCCCCGCAGGTAGTGTCCCATGGCAGTGTGTCAAAACCAATAGTACCCCTGTAGTTCACATCAAAATAGCTGGGATTTATGGATGTTCATCCCACTAAAAATGGTATTTTCATAGGTATTGACCCATACCCCCATCTCAAAATTGGAATTTGGGAGCGAAATTCGATGGATTTCTTCAGCAAGGCTCTATAGTTACTAATTAGAGATGTGCCTGACCTGCACCTGACATGTTTCGGTCGGGCAACTTTCTTGTGTTGGATGGGCTTAGGGCTGGTCAGTTGGTTTATTGATATTTACGGATGTTTGTGTAGTATTGCCATGAACTAGTTGGCTTGTGGACTTATCTATGGATGGCTCGGTGTTATTCAATGGTATTGAGCATCTTATCCCGATGGACACCATCCCATTGTTTGCATTTTCTTGGCAATGGAAAATCCCGCATTGATAGATGATTTGATCATTCAAACCTCCATCTTGGTTGGATATTTTCTATCTAGCCACGTTGATAACACAGGAGGGTACTAAATGCCATTATATAACCATTACTGACCTTTATTAACCATTATTAATCCAGTATTAACGTATATTTACCACTATTTTCTGGGGATATTCCCTTAGATAGCCCTTAGGCCTCATATATTGGTAAGTACCTCCAATAAATTGGATCCTTGTTTTGAACAGGTCAAAAAACATCCAACCACCACTGCTATCGCTTCAGGTTCTGCGGAAACCTGGAACTCTGTTCCTGGGCGTTGAGCGATGCCTTTGTCGGAGATAGCTTCGTTTGCATTGAGGTGCTCTGTTGCGTGACGTCTGGGTGGGTTGTTGCTGGAGGACCTCCCCAAGAATAGGATTTTTATACATGGGATTCTTTATAACTCTTATTTATGGTCCTCATGAATAGGATTGTAGTCCAAATTATAAATAGTAGTATCATAACTATTATAACTCCTGAGCATAAATAGGATTATAACTCCTTATGGTCCTGAACAGTGATGGCCACGGGATGAAATAACTCCTGCAAGGTGAAGCATATCACTTGAATGGGGTAAGTTAGCCAGTTATAACTCTTAAGGGCCACCACTGTAATGAATGACAATCTGATTTCAATATATTCCAATTCAAGTTTCCAAGACATATTTCATGATATAGTGTTAATTCCAAGTAAGATTCCACTGTGTACTGACATATTACTATATTTGTTCAATATTAATTATATGACATATCATGACATTCTAGGTCAAGAGTTGGATGGTTATCAATCCATTTTCATGGGGATTTATATCTGATGTTTGGATTCCCATGTAATGGGACGGATGACCATAACCATAACCATGAATCCGACATAACTTGAGCCTATTTGACAAGTTGATCCCATCTCCCATTCACATTAACCACCTTAATAAACCATGGTGTTTAGTGGCAGATTTTTGCACGGATGTACACACATGGGACCATGCCAGTATTATTTTCCAGTATGTTCCAGACATTACCCTCTGGTAAACTAACATAACTATCAAAAATCACCATTTTAAATGGGTAAATCAACTATAAATGGCAATTTTCAATAGCAAACTGTTAAAGTACCAGAGGGTATAATTATGACACGGCATTCTTGGCATGATATCCTATATGCAAGGTGGCCCCGTGTAGCCATCAGTTGGTTTATAAACCCCATGAACACTATAGTTATATCTACCATTACCATCCATTACCCATGAGACTCACCGGTGAACTAAGTCCACTCAGATAAGTCACCTATCAATCCAGATTTTTCATGGTTCAATCACCATGTTCTTACTGGTGCTAAACGTAGGGAATGGATGGGTTGCTGGGGGGTGCTGGGATGATTATTACTAGTGATTGTGGATCATTCCCTCATTCCCTGCTAAGCACCAGTAAGTGTTTTCCCAGTTGTCCATGATCATAAAGCCCCATGGGCCCATGTTTGTCAAAGGTGCTGGACGAGCTCCAAAGCCTCGAGCTACAGAGGCGCAACAATGATTACTTTTTGTGGTGTGACTTCGGAAATTCACTTAACTTTGGAAAAAATACTATTACTGTTATGTGATATTATTATGTTTCTATGTGCAATAGATTACTTTTTGTTGTTATATAATGTTATATACATGAATGGAAAACATCCATGTGTTTGATAGATATCTTCTTGATAGGAACATTTTTAGGAATTCTCCGTGAGGAAACTGTCACACCTAGTATCCTTTGGTAGACCAACAGTTTGCTATGGTAGTTCGCGATGGCCCATTGACTTCGACGATAAATCCCTATTAAACGTGGTGATTTTCCATAGCAGGGTTAGTTCACTGAAGGGCAAATCCAATAATAGACATCCCCGAGTTTCACATCGGTGGTATCTACCCCCAAACGGTTAGGGTAAACCAACATAGATGTGGAACATGGCATCAAAAATGATGAATTACCTTACAGGATGGTGCCAACCAGTTATAAGTTGGTTCAAAACCACCCCATTAACTATAGTTAAATCTAAGTATATCTACCATAAATCATAGAATTCTATAGTATACTAGTTTGTTATATATATATATCTATCTACCATAAACCATAGATATCTACCATAAACATCATTAAACCATAGTTAATTCAGCCACTGCCATATCTCAACCACCTCGCCTCATGTGCCTCGCGTGGAAGGAGGGGCACCTTCCGTCGTTTGGAGGCGGACTTTGACGTCATCAGTAAGGTGCGGTGCGGAGTTGCCAGCGAATGCAGCATTTTTTTGAAAGGATGAGAATGGGGATATGATGGGGATATGATGGGGATATAAACAATCATGGTATATACAACTATACATATAGTTATAATATAACCAACAAGTAGGATGACTTATAATCTGGGTAATTAAGTTATGAGGATGGTTCGGATTCGGGGAATTCTCCCAATATCAGCCCAACATTTCAGCTTTGTGAATTATTGTAATTGACCCAGATATATTGCTAGGAGCCAACTGCAGCATTCTATAGCATCTTTTGCTGGGGAATCAGCCCCGAATTGGACGTGGGAGATTGCGGGGAATCTTACCATGTCTCAATCTCAGATATGACTCATATGACCTAAAAAGCCAGCTTTATCTTCATAAACTTCATAACTTTCTTTTCTTTCCAGTTGTTCGAGATGGTAGAGATGGATTTGTTTCTTGCCATTTCAAGGTGTTTCACCAGTGTTGGGATCCCAGAATCACGATAATCACCAGCAATGATGGTTTCAAAGATGTTTTAATGTCCAGAAATGGGTAATTATATGTAATTATGCTTGGCTCCAATGACTTTCCAACTCTTTTTACTTTTTTTTTTCAAGTGGATGGCTCAACCAACCATCCAAGTGTAGTGTGAGTGGTGGATCTTCTAAGTGTTTTTTCCCCAGTGCTTTGTCCAACAATGGACCTTTGTCCAAATATCGACATTTGCCGATGGGATCCCCTAGGGTTTTGACGTTTACATGGATGTGGAAAACCCATGGGTTTTCCACCCGTTCGGAAAGTGATCTACATTCATGGTGGCTAAACTCCACATCGATGTTAACATTTACCCAAGGGTATCCCTGAATGTTCCACATCTTAGTTTGTTCACATCGACCAACATTTCCCTAAAATCCTGGAAAAAAACACCGAACATTTCACCATTTACCAAAGGGTATCCCTATGTTTTTTGCTTAGTTTACCCAAGGGAATCCCAGTTTTTCCCAATGATTTTCAGAGACAAAGTCAGCCTCAGCGCAGGTCATGTCCCTTTGGGCCTTCCACCAACGGCAGACTTTGGAGGCTCCATGGATTCCTCAAAAAGAACTGGGATTTCATCGAAAATGATGGGGTTGACATGGATTGGTTTTGTTGGGACACTTAAAGTGGAAGCCATGGTGTTTTGAGACCGTCAAATTGATTGGGGTCTTGCAAGTGTAAGAGTTAACCATTCAACCAAAGTCCTGGATTTGCGGAATATTTTTTTTCCCAATCCTGTAAAATATGGCAATGCAGGGAATCATCCGCATGTGGCCTGATTTATCCTTACTTATATTTGTGATTGAAACAACTGATTCTTCCAGAGATCATCCACAGGTGATATGATTCATCTTGAGAACCATCTGTTTCTTTATTCATCCATGATTGGGGATATTCCATGGATAGCAATTCATGGATTCTATCCCCTAATTAATCTGAAACATGAAGATGAAATATGGGTTTGTCTGAAAATAGTGTACCCCTACACCCAATGGTTAATGATCATTATCCCTACTAAATGGCTATAATTGGGGGTATACCCCATTTTCAGACATACCCATATCCACTAAATATCTCCAGTCTCTTTCGCCCATGAATCCATCTGTTTTTGGACCATCGAACTTTCGCTGGAAGGACAACGAACCGGCCAAGTCCAGCTCGCTGCCTGTGCTGAAGAAAGCCTTGGGCACTCAGTTCGGTGTCAGCTTTGCCTCAAAATCGATTGAACATCTATAGTAAGTCCCCAACCAATATATAGAGAAACATCGAATTTAAATTTAGAATAGAGATAAATCACGTTTCGATTTCGCGGGCATTACTGTAATACAGTCCATGAAATCCTCTCAACAGACAGGATTTTCGCTCTGGGGGTTCTGCCATCAACATCGCTGTTTTGGAAAAATGCGCCATGATTGGCCAAACCTAAGCAGCATTATTTCAGAAGTATACCAGTGCAGGAGGTGTCCAACTATCCCATTTTCAAATGTATACATATATTATATAATAAATAATATATATATATATTTATATCATAATGATAATATATAATATGTATACGACTCGAGTACCCTTCACAGCATCATAGACCCAGCCTGAATATGTATATATATATATATCGTGTACTTAGTTGCTCGGGCACTCGCGTTGCGAGCACCTCACGTGCTGCAACTTACGTGCTGCAACTTATGCCCATGCATTTTTCATGGACAGAAATACGTCATTGGTTTTTTTTGAGTGAGAGGCATGTCGATGCTTTTTTTGGTGAATCAAAAATGCATTGGCATATTAGCTAAGATCAAGTAAGCCCTTTAAGGACTTTGGATAAAGTAAAAACCCTAGATATGTGGCAGCAACAAGTATGTTTGTAGGAAAGCTGAGCTTCCACTCGGGGAAAGGTCTTAGGATGGAAATTGATTCTGCAGGTTCTTTAGAGTCTCAAGCATGGTGGGAGAGGAGGCCTTGTCTGAGGACAAGGCACAAGCCCTCCATATGTGTCGACCATACCAAAATCCCTTGTGTTGCGACAAATGCATTTACTTGACCGTGAAAAAAGCATCCGGCAACATATATATTTTTGGGCTCCCCCAAAGCCTGGAACCTTAGCGGATGCTTTTTTAATCTTCAAGTAAATGCATCCATATGTGTGTTGATCATACCAAAAGCCCTTGCGTTGCGAAACAGCGTGTTGCAACGGTACGTTGCGCGTGCTGCGTGCTGGAGCTACTAAGATTGTGTATTATTATTGTAAATCCGGGGTACTCATTCTTATGAGTAATCCATTTTCAAACATTATTACCCATTATTCAATGGTTATAGATCATTACATGGATCATTATGAATCATTATAGTCTCCTTACTACAGTAAGCACTATTGATCACTATTGATCGCTAATGATCACTACATATCCCATATAGATATAGTTAAATATTATTAAATCCCATCAATATCTCATATAATCCATATAGATTCCCATTAAATGCCATTTAGGGGTACCGCGGTGCCCATTTTTGTTGATCTTTTTTGGACTCGCAACGAGGCAGCCTCCTTGTTACAGGGCGTCTTGGTGAAGCTTCTTCCAGGCCGACTGTTGGAGCGCTTGGAGGACGCCCTCCGCGCCTTCCGCGACGCGAGCGGCGACCTTTAAGAAGCAGCTCTGGAGCGATAGGAGAACTCTTTTGTGGGTATAATATCATTCAAGTGTTTTAATGGCCTTTTAATGGATATTTATGGATCAATGGATTGGTTTAAGGGAAAATCGTAACCGGAAACCATGGATTTTCTCATGAAACATGGGGGGGTTCCGGTTTCAATTTTCCCTTAAACCAATCCATTGATAATATCAATGATATGAATCAATATGATAATTATTGATAATCAATAATATAATCAACCAGAACTCTTATAGAATCAATGTGAATCAATGATATTTATAATCTTTGTCATGGATAATTGATTAGAATTCATAAGTTTCACGAAAATTGATGATACATGCTCATTAATGATCAGTAACATTCATATCCATTCACCGGTCCTTAAGAGTTGTCGCACAGCAGGAGTTTCAAGAGTCGGAGGTGTTGGTCCGTATCGTTGGGGGCCTCCAGTTTTTGAGGCCATGATGATTAGGAAACTGGTAGAAAAATCACCATTTTTGATGGGTTAATAATGGGTTAATAATGGTTGATAATTAGCTATTGAAATGGGTTAGATCATGGTTAATTATTGGTTAATAATGGGTTAATCATGGTTGATAATGGTTAATAATGGGTAATCATGATATACCCTCTGGTAAACAAACAGTTTGCTATTGAAAATGGCCATAGAAAGTTCGTTAATTTACCGAACTGAAAAATGGTGATTTTCCATAGTTATGAAAACTTTTACCAGAGGGTAATTAATATATGAAAAATATGAGAGGTTTAATGATGATGAGCCAATTGATGGGGTGGGATGTTCCTTCAGCAAACTTCTTGGGGTGTACACATATGTCCAGTTGGAAGAAGCATGCCGACGTTTCAGGCCAAAACAGTTCTTAAATACCGGGAAGCGCAACTGTCCACAAATTTTGAAGTGGCCATTTATCATGTTTTCTCACATAAACATCATAAACATTCATAAATATCCACAAAATGAGAAAAACAATGGCAATTTCATTTTTTTAAATAAACATTTCTCACTCACATCTTTAAGTGTCACCACAACCACTCACTGAAGGCTCTGGCTGCGGTGCATAACAACGCCCAGCTAAGGCCTGCGCAGTGGAAACTCACGGCTTGGAAACGAGATGAAATTGAATTTATGCCAGTTATAGAAACATATGATATGTGTAGTATATAATATTAATTATTATATATAGCTATATAATAGTATATAGTCATCCCCAAATAGATGGGAAAGTAAATCCCTACTAATTTGATATTGATTTACTTTTCCATCTATTTGGGATGACTATATATATAAGAGTAAATAAACATCAGCTATCCTTGCAGACATTTTGGTTCTCCACTTTTCCACTCGGCCTTTTTTGACTCTTTTCACCATGCTCGTCCTTTGGCTGTTCTGTTTGTGGTTATTCCCAGCACTGAGCGATCCAGGCAGTTTTGACTCCTTCTCCAGCTGGAAACACTTGAGAAACGCCTTGCTTCGATGGAACGACACGGATTCCAAGCTTCAGTTGATCTCACAGTACGGCCAGTTGAACGCATGGAACATTTCGACCATCCGAAATCTGAGTCGTTTGTTCCAAGCTCTGGAGGATTTCGATGAAGACATTGGCGCTTGGGACACTTCTGGAGTAACAGACATGAGCTTCATGTTCGCTGGAGCGAAATCGTTTAACAGGCCTATCGAATCTTGGAATGTTTCCAGTGTCACAGACATGAAAGCCATGTTTTACAACGCTGCACACTTCAATCAAGCCATTGGATCGTGGGACGTAGCGGCAGTGAGGGACATGAGCTACATGTTCTATGGAGCGGAATCTTTCAACAGGCCTATCGGATCTTGGAACGTTTCCAGTGTTACAGATATGAGGTACATGTTTTACAACGCTGCACACTTCAATCAAGCCATTGGATCGTGGGACGTAGCGGCAGTGAGGGACATGAGCTACATGTTCTATGGAGCGGAATCTTTCAACAGGCCTATCGGATCTTGGAACGTTTCCAGTGTCACAGACATGAAAGCCATGTTTTACAACGCTGCACACTTCAATCAAGCCATTGGATCGTGGGACGTAGCGGCAGTGAGGGACATGAGCTACATGTTCTATGGAGCGGAATCTTTCAACAGGCCTATCGGATCTTGGAACGTTTCCGGTGTTACAGATATGAGGGACATGTTTTACAACGCTGCACACTTCAATCAAGCCATTGGATCGTGGGACGTAGCGGCAGTGAGGGACATGAGCTACATGTTCTATGGAGCGGAATCTTTCAACAGGCCTATCGGATCTTGGAACGTTTCCGGTGTCACAGATATGAACACCATGTTTTACAACGCTGCACACTTCAATCAAGCCATTGGATCGTGGGACGTAGCGGCAGTGAGGGACATGAGCTACATGTTCTATGGAGCGGAATCTTTCAACAGGCCTATCGGATCTTGGAACGTTTCCGGTGTTACAGATATGAGGGACATGTTTGACAACGCTGCACACTTCAATCAAGCCATTGGATCGTGGGACGTAGCGGCAGTGAGGGACATGAGCTACATGTTCTATGGAGCGGAATCTTTCAACAGGCCTATCGGATCTTGGAACGTTTCCGGTGTTACAGATATGAGGTACATGTTTTACAACGCTGCACACTTCAATCAAGCCATTGGATCGTGGGACGTAGCGGCAGTGAGGAAGATGCGTGGGATGTTCTATGGAGCGCAATCTTTCAACAGGCCTATCGGATCTTGGAACGTTTCCAGTGTCACAGACATGAAAGCCATGTTTTACAACGCTGCACACTTCAATCAAGCCATTGGATCGTGGGACGTAGCGGCAGTGAGGGACATGAGCTACATGTTCTATGGAGCGGAATCTTTCAACAGGCCTATCGGATCTTGGAACGTTTCCGGTGTTACAGACATGAACGCCATGTTTGACAACGCTGCACACTTCAATCAAGCCATTGGATCGTGGGACGTAGCGGCAGTGAGGGACATGAGCCACATGTTCTATGGAGCGGAATCTTTCAACAGGCCTATCGGATCTTGGAACGTTTCCGGTGTCACAGATATGAGGTACATGTTTTACAACGCTGCACACTTCAATCAAGCCATTGGATCGTGGGACGTAGCGGCAGTGAGGGACATGAGCTACATGTTCCATGGAGCGCAATCTTTCAACAAACCCATCGGCTTGTGGAATGTATCTGGTGTTGAGACTATGAGTTACATGTTTTCCGGGGCCACCTCTTTTGATCAGGACCTTGGTTTGTGGGACACGTCTGCGCTTACCGACATATCGTATGTTTTCGCTGGTGCACAGAATTTCAACAAACCTTTGTCGACATGGAACTTTTCAGCAGTGCAAAACTCGACAGGTCCTTTCGATGGTTCTGCTGTGCTGCGCTGTGTTCATAGTCGTACCTCCCAAGCTCAGGGGTGGCCTGCTTTAAGCTTTCAGGCTTTTGAATTTAGCTTCGAGCCGTGCCCCTTGTGCCCTTGCCGTGACCCAAGCTTGGCGTGTGTAGATGGAAGATGCTCTCCGCTCAACTCCGGCTTCATCGACCTGGGGCGAGGCAACTGGATGCCGGCAGAGGCCCTTGCAACAGCTGCCGGTTTCCGCCAATGTGTTGAAAAATGCCAGGAATCCGAAGATTGTTCCGCCTTCATCCTCCAGGATTCGGGACGATGCTTCTTGCAGAGAACCAGGCCGCAGAAATCCCAGGATCATAACATAGGTGATAGTCTCGCCTTCTTGAAACCGTCTTGCACGACCTTTTCATGTGGTCCTGGTGCCACACCGAAACCACTGGGGTCGAGCCCAGTTTCTGTGAGTGAAGCAGCTTGCTGCAGCTGCCTGGACCCGAAAGTTCCTGAGCCCGGCCACAGATCCCGTGGAGATTTGCGGTGCGTGTCATGTCCCGAAGGCACCGAAGCTCGAAACGAAAGCTGTCGGACGTGCCCTGCAGGTCGCTATGCCCCGGCTGGATCCAAGACATGTCAGGCCTGTGGCCCAGGACGTGTGCCGAATGCCAACCGCAGCGGGTGTCAGACATGTCCTCCGGGAACGTATTCTGACCTGGGCCAGTGCGCAACCTGTTCTTTTCCATTTTTCTTGGAAGACAACACCTGTATCTTGCCAGGCTGACTTTCAACAATCTTCAGCTTGAACCATTTAAAAATCATGTTTCTTTACGTTTTTTACATCAACATCTTTTTGCTTTACCGATCTCGAATCATCTTTACGATATTGTTTGGTCTGGCCACTAACATCGGCCATTCCGTGCTTTGCGGTCGATCCAAGAGCCGAGGCAAGTGGTTTCATCTGCCTTCGATCGCAGTGGGGCTTGTGGTCCTTGGCCTTTCCCTGTTCTTCGCGTGTCACCGAGTGAAGAAACAGTGGCTCCGCGAGAGCCAGAAGCGCTCTGATCAAGTGGAGATGCTGCTGCAAGAGATGGACGACGCACTCTGGGATGAACAGGAGAATGCGCGGGTCGACCTTGGGGGTCAACATGGGTCAACTCAACTTTCGGAACCCGTAGATACAGAGGAACAACTTCTTCAGGGATATTCAGGGTGCAGTAGATCTTTCATAATCTTTGAGGCCTCCCAAGTGTAACCCATCATAGTCTATGTCTATGCAGTAACCGATTGTTAATCCCTTTTTGGTCGGTAGGAGACATTCCTCCCAACTTGATATTCATCCAGAGATGGAAAATCAATGAAGATCTATGTGAAATCTCGGGTGTCAGGTTTGTCCACGGGTCCATCACGGGTCCGCACTGCAACAGGAGGAGACGGTGCTGCAAGACTTTCTTCAGCAGCTTAGCAGCTTCGGATGGACACCAGATGCCGTGGACCGGCAGGTGAAGGAGATCCGGGCGCGTCACAGTCACCACGCAGGTGTCAGCATGGCCTATTTGCTCCGAGATTTCGTGCAGTTGGCCCAGGAGAAATCGGGGGAAGTTGATCCCACTTTCCTCCGATTGAAGGAAGTCTTCTGGTTAAGCGACAACAAACTTGGCCAAGACCGCCACTGCCCAAGGGATGGGAAACCAGGTTGCGCCCTGGTGGACATGCTTCCTTTCCAGCATCGACAGAAGCAGAACCACTTCATGTCTTGGAGTTGGCAGTATTCACTGGGCCAGTTGTGGCTCGGCTACTGCCAAACTGAAAGCCGCTGTTGATCATGATATGTTTGTGTTTGTCTCTGTTTCTTTTCATCGTACATATTGCAAATATTATTGACATTTATGAATTATATCGAAGGAAGTTTAGAAGTCAAACTTCCGACAATATGGAGAGATGAAAAGCAGAGCAGGGAAGAGGCATAGAGAAGAGAAAGATTAGAAGAAAGAAGAGTAGAAGAGAAAGAGTAAGAAGACAGAAGATGCAGATGCGCGAAAAGGTAGGAAAGTCGCGAAACACTGTGTTTTTCCAATGACTTGTGGCTCCGGAGGGTCGAAAAGTAGGCTCGCTAAAGCGGCGGGTGCGGAGCCAGCTGGCCAGAGGAGAGATGAAAAATTGCACGCCGTTGTGGCGCGAAGCACATTTCCAAGTCAAAATGTACAAAGCACACCATTGTCGGACCACTTTGGAAGTTGCAATGTCGAAAAAGTGCACGCCGTTGTGGCGCGAAGCACATTTCGAAGTCAAAATGTACAAAGCACACCATTCTCGGACCACTTTTGGAAGTTGAGATGTCGAAAAAGTGCACGCCGTTGTGGCGCGAAGCACATTTCCAAGTCAAAATGTACAAAACACACCAGCTCCGGACCACTTTTGGAAGTTGCGATGTCGAAAAAGTGCACGCCGTTGTGGCGCGAAGCACATTTCGAAGTCAAAATGTACAAAACACACCAGCTCCGGACCACTTTTGGCAGTTGAGATGTTGAAAAAGTGCACGCCGTTGTGGCGCGAAGCACATTTCGAAGTCAAAATGTACAAAACACTAGGGGTTCGGACCATTTTTGGAGGTTCAGATGTCGAAAAAGTGCACGCCGTTGTGGCGCGAAGCACATTTCGAAGTCAAAATGTACAAAACACAAGGGGTTCGGACCACTTTTGGAGGTTCAGATGTCGCTTCGCTTCACTACACTACAGGACATTACACTACACTACACTCCAGTACACTCACTACATTACACATTACACTACACTCCAGCACTACCAGTCCACTCACTCCACCACTCCACTACACTACTACATTACACTACACTACACTACGACACACTACACTACACTCCACTACACTACACTACACTACACTACACTCACTACACTACAACTACAACTACACAACTACACTCCACTACACTCCACTACACTCCACTACTACAGTACACTACATTACACAAACACTACACTACACTACACTACACTCCACAACGCTACAACTACAACTACACAACTACACAACTACACAACTACACTCCACTACACTCCACTACACTAAATTACACTACACTACACTACATTACACTACACTCCACTACACTACATTACACTACACTACACTACACTACACTACTTTCCACTACACTTTACTACATTACACTACACTACACGCCACTACACTACAACTACAACTACAACTACACAACTACACTCCCCTACACTCCACTACACTCCACTACACTAAATTACACTACACTACGCTACATTACACTACACTCCACTACACTACACTAAATTACACTACACTTCACTACATTGCACTACACTACACTCCACTACACTACACTACATTACACTACACTACACTACTACCTTCCACTACACTTCACTACACTACACTACACTCCACTACACTACAGCTACAACTACACAACTACACTCCACTACACTCCACTACACTAAATTACACTACATTAAGTTACACTACGCTACATTACACTACACTACATTCCACTACACTCCACTACACCACACTACATCACACTACACTATATACATTACACTGAATGACACTGCACCACAGATAGACAGGTAGACAGATAGATAGATAGACAGATCGACAGGTAGACAGCTAGACAGATGAAGGAGAGAGAGAGATAGATAGATAGATAGGTAGATAGATAGATAGATGGACAGATAGACGGACAGACAAATAGATAGAGAGACAGCTAAATAAAGAGATAGATAGATAGATAGGTAGGTAGGTAGGTAGGTAGGTAGATAGTCAGAGAAAGAGAGAGAAATAGTGAGAGAGATCAATCACCTTTCGCTCCATCAGTGGCTTCGCTCTGCCATCCCTGATTCACAACAACCAACCTCTCCTATAGGTTTCCTATTTTTGAAACTTCCGCCGCCGCCTTGCGCGGTACTACCGGTAATTGTAACATGTGTTTCATGAGTTGCAATCTGGCTGAACTAATCTGAAGGGCTTGCGGTTCATGGCACCAAGTTGCCACTTTTGATGTTGGGGTTGCAAACATTAGAGATGGTTGCCATCTCAACCTTTGCTGTAGGGCCAGCATCATCGTTGACCTGGCAATGGAGAACCCCACATCAAAATGAATCCACACAAAGGGTTTTCTCGTAGAAATGCTGGATTTTCCAATATAAAGCAGGGGGATTTCAGGTTGCTTCGGAATCCGCTTCATCCCTTGATACGTGTCAAACGTGGCGGGACTCAGGCGAAGCGCCCTGCAGATGTGGAGAGTTCAGAGACCAGCTGGCGAGATTTTCTTCTACATGTGTCTCTTGGCACCACTCAGCATGCTGCTTTCTGAAAGGGCCCACGATTACCCCAGTGATCATCTTGTTTCCTAGGTGGCTTGGGATCACCCCGTAGCCGTTTCTTTGTTCAAACCCTCTGGTAATCCAACCGGGCTGTAATATCCAGTATTAGTATACGGATTGAGATTGGTTTTCTGAAGTACTGAAGATTTTGTATTTTCCGATCCCATCAAAAATTGTGCAATTCTCAATTCTCATGAAAAGATTGGATGTTCCCACTAGCAACCGAGAGTTTCCCATCAAACATCTTGACCTTCTGTTGCACATGGTGCATTTCCCATTCCATCCCTTTTTTTCCCACCAACAAAATGTACCGTCCCATAAAACATGCTGATTTCCCATACAAAACAAGTGTTTTTCAAGTTGAACATGTCGAAATTGTCAGTGAGAATGAGGACTTTCCATGATTTCCGCTTCAAAAAATGTGGAATCTGTATGAATCTGTCATCAAAACTAGAGGAACCTCCTGTCCTCCTGTAAACCAGGGGAACTTTTCTTTCCATTGTCTCAGGTTTTTTCGTGAACAATCAATTCCGCTTGATCGTGGACGGAACTCCTGCGGGAAGTGACAACCTCGAGGAAGTCTTCGAAGCGAATCTTCGGCGCACGGGACACGTGGTGGCCGTGTTGGATACCTGGCACCAGCCGATGTATTTGCGACGCGTGTGACTTGGCTGGATTTTTCCGTCGGATTTTTCGCTACTGTAAAAGTAGGAGGATGTTGGTTCTTAAATAGAAAGGTTTGACATGGCTTAATATGGCTTAATTATGCTTAATTAATATGGTTGAAATAAGGGTGTTGAACAAACAGCTAATTAAGTTGGGATTGAACCACCCTTCAATTGGGACTAACATGTAACCATGTGTAGCCAATACACCTGGCTAGTGGCTTCATCCATTTTTTCCGTCCTTGGGGATGATTGATGCTCCGCAATTTTCGGATTTTTGGGGAGGGTAGTAGTTGGAGCATCACTCAGGTGGACGATCTATGAACAGTACGTAGCCTGTGCTCTGCACATCGATGTGACCTTCGTGATGCCGTACGACGCGTCCGTGTCGTTGTCCCAGAAACTGTCCCTGGGAGACGCCGGCATTGCCGAAGTCACAGGATCCCTCTGCGAGGTGAACGTGGCCCATGCAGAAGCCTTTGACCCACGGGATGAGAAAAAGGTGAAGGAAACGATCCAAAGAAGTGTTGGTTTCGATAGAGTTAATTCACATGTGAAAAGTGCCATGGTTCAGTGGATTAGTGGAGTTGTCAGAGATAAATTTCACCAATTGGTGAATGAAGCGTCCGAAGAGACGTTTTACGTTTAAGAGTCTAGCAGCAGCCTAGTGCCTTAATTCGAAGTTGGCGAATGAAGCGTGCGAAGAGACGTTTCACCTTTAAGAGTCTAGCAAAAGCCTAGTGCCTCAATTCACAGTCAATGAAGCGAACGAAGAGACGTTTCATTTTAAGATTTAAGAGTCTAGCAAAAGCCTAGTGCCTCAATTCACAGTCAATGAAGCGAACGAAGAGACGTTTCATTTTAAGATTTAAGAGTCTAGCAGAAGCCTAGTGCCGCAATTCACATGAAGCGTACGAAGAGACGTTTCACGTTTAGGCGTCTAGCAGAAGCCGAGTGCCTTAATTCAATGTTAAACTGCCTGGAAAATAGGCTCTTTTGCGATGCACGCGTCCGTGCTTGGTATTGGTATTAAATCCAATGTTCATTTTTTTTCGGATCCTGCATTTCAGGAACACTTCTATATAATAATCCGGGAGTAGATATGAGTAGATAACATATGGACATTTGATTGGAAAAAAACACTAAGCTTGACATATGCTTGAACATCCCGGATTGAATCTATATATGGCACTTGTAGATAGAGGGTCTCATATGGGCCATATGGGCAATGGGCATTGGTGAAAGATCAAACAGCAAATTATGCCATTTAGTTTGAGCTGAACATCCATTATTTACCAACTATTTTTGTCACCCATATGGTTTAGGGGCGATTTTGAAGTCCACCCGCAAGGATTTTCCCATCACCACAGCATGGAGGTCGGTGTGAAAATAGGCACCGAAATCCGATTGTTTAATATAATATCATTTTCCTCGTTAAAAAAACATAAGCATTCAGGTGAGAATTTGCACAGGTCTTGCGTTTTAACTGGTGGCTTGTGTTTTATGGATTGGGCTCCCCCAAATAGGCACCAAACTCTGCATTTTGGACCAAAGAGAAACCATGCCATTCTCATGGATTCATGGCTCACAGGTGGAACAAAACAGATAAACCACAAGGCAATGCAAGTTTGAGTCACCTTAGTTATCATACATGTTACATATAACTATAACTTGTAACCAGGTAATTCAATTTTTTACTACATATATACTTACTACATACTTAGCTCAAACCAACCCATCCAAGATTCAAAAGTCAAATCATTGTCATTGTCATAGAAGGCTGGGAAAATTTTAAAATTCAAAAAAGGCTGGGAAAAGATAGCATTATGGATTCCCTTAAACGATTTTTTTCAAATAAGAAAATTTTAAAATTCAAAAACGGCTGGGAGAAGATAAGGTTATGGATTCCCTTATTTGATTTTTTTTTCAAATAAGAAATTGAAAATTAAAAAAAGACTAGGTTTTTTTTAGGAATATCTTAAACGATTTTTTTCTCAAATAAGCAAATTTGAAACTTCAAAAAAGGCTAGGAGAAGATAGGGTTATGGATTCCCTTATTATGCCCTTATTTGATGTTTTTTTCAAATAAGAACTTTGAAAACACTAGGATTTTATATGAATCTCTTAAACGATTTTTGTTCTCAAATAAGCAAATTTAAAAATTCTAAAAAGGCTAGGAGAAGATAGGATTGTAGATTCCCTTAAACGTTTTTTTTCAAATAAGAAAATTTTAAAATTCAAAAAATGCTGGGGGAAGATAGGATTATGGATTCCCTTAAACATTTTTTTTTACCTAAGAAAATTTTAAAATTCAAAAAAGGCTAGGAGAAGATAGGATTATGGATTCCCTTAAACTTTTTTTTCAAATAAAAAATGTTTTTTTTTTTAAAGACTATGGTTTTATATGAATCTCTTAAACGATTTTTTTTCTCAAATAAGCAAATTTGAAAATTCAAAAAAGGCTAGAAGATAGGATTGTAGATTCCCTTAAGCGATTTTTTTTCAAATAAGAAAATTTAAGAATTCAAAAAAGGCTGGGAGAAGATTGCCTTATTTTTTATCAAACAAAATCAAATCAAAATAAGAAAAATGATTCAAAAAAAACTGTAGGTAGAATAGAGTCAGAGAGATTGGTATTGTTTTTGTTTAAATATTTAAACTAAATTAAATAGTAAAAAAATGAAAAATTCAAAAAACAATGTAACCCAAACATGAAAACAATAAAACAACAAAAAAACAATAGAAACCAGTTTGGAAGCAAATTTGATGAAAGAACCAATGTCAGCCTTGTTTTTTTTGAAGTTGATTGAAATTGATTGTGATTTTTTTGACCAGAACTTAAAACACAAGCAAAAAGCTTAAACGGTTTTTTTAATTTTCAAATAAGCTTATTTGATTTTTTTTGTGGCTTGTGTCCCCTGGATTTTGTTTTTTTTTTGTGTTTCTGATCAGAAGAAAACAAATTGTGGGGGACACAAACCAATTATAATCAATTTCTGTCCCCCACAATTTGTTTTCTTCTGATCAGAAACACAAAAAAAAACAAAATCCAGGGGACACAAGCCACAAAAAAAATCAAATAAGCTTATTTGAAAATTAAAAAAACCGTTTAAGCTTTTTGCTTGTGTTTTAAGTTCTGGTCAAAAAAATCACAATCAATTTCAATCAACTTCAAAAAAACAAGGCTGACATTGGTTCTTTCATCAAATTTGCTTCCAAACTGGTTTCTATTGTTTTTTTGTTGTTTTATTGTTTTCATGTTTGGGTTACATTGTTTTTTGAATTTTTCATTTTTTTACTATTTAATTTAGTTTAAATATTTAAACAAAAACAATACCAATCTCTCTGACTCTATTCTACCTACAGTTTTTTTTGAATCATTTTTCTTATTTTGATTTGATTTTGCTTGATAAAAAATAAGGCAATCTTCTCCCAGCCTTTTTTGAATTCTTAAATTTTCTTATTTGAAAAAAAATCGCTTAAGGGAATCTACAATCCTATCTTCTAGCCTTTTTTGAATTTTCAAATTTGCTTATTTGAGAAAAAAAATCGTTTAAGAGATTCATATAAAACCATAGTCTTTAAAAAAAAACATTTTTTTATTTGAAAAAAAAGTTTAAGGGAATCCATAATCCTATCTTCTCCTAGCCTTTTTTGAATTTTAAAATTTTCTTATTTGAGAAAAAAATCGTTTAAGAGATTCATATAAAACCATAGTCTTTAAAAAAAACACATTTTTTTTTTATTTGAAAAAAAACAAATAAGGGAATCCATAATCCTATCTTCTCCCAGCCTTTTTTGAATTTTAAAATGTTCTTATTTGAAAAAAAACGTTTAAGGGAATCCATAATCCTATCTTCTCCTAGCCTTTTTTGAATTTTCAAATTTGCTTATTTGAGAAAAAATGTTTAATAGATTCATATAAAATCCTAGTTTTTTTTCAAAGTTCTTACTTGAAAAAACATCAAATAAGGGCATAATAAGGGAATCCATAATCCTATCTTCTCCTAGCCTTTTTTGAAGTTTCAAATTTGCTTATTTGAGAAAAAATCGTTTAAGAGATTCATTAAAAAAAACCTAGTTTAAAAAAAACAACAAATTTCTCATTTGAAATAATCAAATAAGGGAATCCATAACCCTATCTTCTCCCAGCCTTTTTTGAATTTTAACATTTTCTTATTTGAAAAAAAAAATCCATAATCCTATCTTTTCCCAGCCAGGATGTTAGCACAGGACACGCATGCACCAAAAACAGTGCACGGCGCACAGTGGGGAAAAAAGGCCAGCAGCATCAATTTGGAAGAACTGGGTTCCATGTGTTTTTTTCTGTTTTGGAACTTCCGCAATAATAAAACACAAGGGCAAACTTATACCGCAAGCAAAACAGCTACCTGTGAAAATTGACACATTCAGGATTCCCATTTTCAGACATCAACACAATATAAGATTCATAAAGCATAGTCATTTTAGGGTCTCCCTTTCAGACAAACCCCGGGAGGCTGCAGTTGGCCGTGAATTATGCGGACAACAACGTCATAGCTGTGATGGTTGCATGCATGGTGGTGCCGCGCCCGGTGAATCATCCCATCGAGTATAAAAAAACCTGGTTATAAGTTATAAGTGGATCAACCCTACTTATCTCACTAACAAAACCAGGCATATAACCTACTTAGTGGGATGAGCCAACCTCAGTAGTTGTGAAATGATTTGCTATTGGATCAGTAAAACGATTAGTCAGCTAATTAGTGCATATTAGTGCACTGCAGCCTTCCCAAAAGCCAGCAGATTGATCTGGATTTTTCACCAATGGGAAGCCGGGCCAAACGCGCGCAGTTGTTACTACGTGGCTACGAGACGGAGGGGGCAGCGGACGCAGCGGACTCTGAGGTGGAGGTGTGGTTTTCACACTGGCCAAAAGATGCCAAAAGCCACGGAAGAAACCAGGAAATCATCTGATCAAATCTATCTGTGGATTCTATCATGGATTTCCATCTATCATGATCATCTATCATGGATTATCCATCTATGTTCATCTACTGTATCCACAGATTTTGTCCATCTTTCTTGGAGGTTCCCGGGTTCTATGGGTAGCAGCAACCCAGGCCAAGTAAGCTCCTGTAAATTACTAGCTTTGACCCTGAAATGTCAGGCCAAGTCATCTTCCAAAGCCACTCATGGCAGGGTCACAAGCTGTTGGGTGAGGGCTTTCTGGAACATCCAACATTTGATGATTTTCCCAGCGAACTCAACCTCCATGGCTGATTGGAGGATTTTCTGCCGTGTTTCAGGAGACGGTTCGGCCCTAATAGTTGGTGATATTTTAAGGGCTGACGCCCCTCGTCGGCTCCGCCGGATTTCTCGACCCTCCATTTCATCGCAGTGTGGGCTTGAAAGCTTTTGGATGGGGACCTGCTTCAGAAATATAGTCCGTATGTTTTTTGAAAAAAGTTCATCGAATAGGAACTTTGTTGGAAATAGACGGCTTTTTTGGGGAGCAAGTGAGTTCCCGAAAGCTCCTGCCAAGGGTTTTTCCCGAAGAACTGCTGCCAATTTCAACTTGTTACTTCGTGTAAAGGCGCCTCTTTGCAAAGACTTCTCTGTGTAAAAGCTTTTGTGTGTAAAAGTTTCTGTGTGTAAAAACCACATTGTGTAAAGACTTCTTTGTGTAAAAGCTTCTGTGTGTGAAAGCTTCTCTGTGTGAAACGTCTGTGTAAAGATTTCACTGTGTGTAAAAGCTTCCGTGTGTAAAAACTTTCTGTGTAAAGTGTAAAGGCTTCTCTGTGTAAAAGCTTCTGTGTGTAAACGCGTCTGTGTGTAAAAGCTATATATCTGTGTAGAGACTTCTTTGTGTAACAGCTTCTGTGTGTAAAGGCTCCTAGATGTTTGTGTGCAAAAGCTCCTTGGAGTAAAGACTTCTCTGTGTAAAACCTTCTGTGTGTAAAAAGCTCCTTTGTGTAAAGACTTCTCTGTGTAAAAGCCCCTGTGTGTGTAAATGCTTTTGTGTGTAAAAGCTCCTCTGTGTAAAGGCTTCTCTGTGTAAAAGCTTCTGTGTGCAAACGCGTCTGGGTGTAAAAACTCTCTCTGTCAGGCCTTCTTCGTGTAAAAAGTTCTGTGTGAAAAAGCTCCTAGACGTTTGTGTGCAAAAGCTCCTTGGAGTAAAGACTTCTCTGTGTAAAACCTTCTGTGTGTAAAAAGCTCCTTTGTGTAAGGACTTCTCTGTGTAAAAGCCCCTGTGTGTGTAAAAGCTTGCTGGGTGTAAATGCTTTTGTGTGTAAAAGCTCCTCTGGGTGAAGGCTTCTCTGTGTAAAAGCTTCTGTGTGCAAACGCGTCTGTGTGTAAAAACTCTCTCTGTCAGGCCTTCTTCGTGTAAAAAGTTCTGTGTGAAAAAGCTCCTAGACGTTTGTGTGCAAAAGCTCCTTAGAGTAAAGACTTCTCTGTGTAAAACTTTCTGTGTGTAAAAAGCTCCTTTGTGTAAAGGCTTCTCTGTGTAAAAGCCCCTGTGTGTGCAAAAGCTTGCTGTGTGCAAATGCTTTTGTGTGTAAAAGCTCCTCTGTGTAAAGGCTTCTCTGTGTAAAAGCTTCTATGTGCAAACGCGTCTGTGTGTAAAAACTCTCTCTGTCAGGCCTTTTTCGTGTAAAAAGTTCTGTGTGAAAAAGCTCCTAGACGTTTGTGTGCAAAAGCCCCTTAGAGTAAAGACTTCTCTGTGTAAAACCTTCTGTGTGTAAAAAGCTCCTTTGTGTAAGGACTTCTCTGTGTAAAAGCCCCTGTGTGTGTAAAAGCTTGCTGTGTGTAAATGCTTTTGTTTGTAAAAGCTCCTTTGTGTGAAGGCTTCTCTGTGTAAAAGCTTCTGTGTGCAAACGCGTCTGTGTGTAAAAAGCCCTCTGTGTAAAGACTTCTTCGTGTAAAAACTTCTGTGAGTTAAAGCTCCTAGACGTTTGTCTGCAAAAGCACCTTAGAGTAAAGACTTCTCTGCGTAAAACCTTCTGTATGTAAAAAGCTCCTTTGTGTAAAGACTTCTCTGTGTAAAAGCCCCTGTGTGTGTGGGTAAAAGCTTCTGTGCGTCTCCTCCCTCCAGCTTTCTTTCGGGTCACGCTGTCGTCCAGTTTCAATCTGCAACGTTGTTTCTTGTGGAAGAGTGCAAAATAATGCAAAGAACATGTGAAAGCATCGCGCGTTTAAAAATTGAACATAAACAGCGCACAAAGTGCTGTAATTTACAGCATATTGCGCTGTCATTTACAGCATATTGCGCTGTCAGCTGGCAAGAACCCGCGTAAATACCACAGTTTTAGTCCCCCAAAGTGGCTAAAACACTGTTATTTACAGTGTTTCGTTCACGTCACGATCTTCGATTTTTTGGGAAACGCGTAAATACCAGCGTTTTTTGCGTTCATCAAGGCAAAACATCGGTTCAAAAAGTGCAAAAAATGCTGTAATTTACAGGGGTTTGGCGCCGTCACGGGCAAAAAACTGTGTAAATACCAGCGTTTCAGCGCCCAAAAGTGGCCAAAACACCGCTATTTACAGTGTTTCGTGCCTTCCACGTTTTCTTGAAATTGCAAAAACAGTGTAAATACCAGCATTTTTTGCGATCAACTTGCCAAAAATGCTGTAATTTACAGTGTTTTTTTGCTTTGCTTGCAAAAACACTGGTATTTGCAGTGTTTTATGCATCTCGAGTCCAAAAAGTATTGGTATTTACAGCATTTTCTGCGTTTTTGCATGGCTCCCGCAACAGAGGTTAAAACGCAAAAATGCTGTAATTTACAGCATTTTGTGACTTTCGAAAAGTTGAAAATCGTCCGAAAAATGTCTCAAAACGGCGCTTTTTTCCGATTTTAGGTACCCTCCAAACGGGGGGGGGAGAATGCTCTTGAAGACGCTGATGAGCGACCCGGATCCCGGCCAAAAAGCTCTCCCCCACCCTCCTGAAGGATTTTTGGTGTTTTTCGGGGCCCGGCGTCGGAGGGTCGGCGGTTGGGGGCGCGCCTCACCTTAGAGCTCTAGTCGCTCTGGGACGCTCTAGGGCAAGCCACTCGGAGACGCGGAGCGACCCGGATCCCGGCCAAAAAGCTCTCCCCCACCCTCCTGAAGGATTTTTGGTGTTTTTCGGGGCCCGGCGTCGGAGGGTCGGCGGTTGGGGGCGGCTTACCTAGAGTCTTAGTCGCTTCTGGGACGCTCGTAGGGCAAGGCCACTCGTGTGGAGCGGCGGAGCCGAATTTTGGTGTTTTCGGGGCGGCGTCGGAGGGTCGGCGGGATCCTAAATGAAATGAACCCTAAAGAAACCAGAAATTGACCTAAAGAAACCATTTGAATGAAACTTTAAATGCATCCTAAAGAGACCCTAGACGACACTCTAATAAGGTTTGAAGGAAATACTAAATGGAACCCAGACATAACGCTTGGACATTCTTACCATGGTTTTGTCCGCGCAGTTTGATGGACTTTGGCTGGTATGTACCTTGCAATGTAAAGTTATGTAGTGTAATTTGGTGTAATGTAAATGTACTGTCATTGTATTCGGCTGCTGCTGCTGCGGATGCCGGTCAACCAGCTTCGAACAAAGCAGTTCCCGGCAACAAAACACTATGGCTCTGAAACACGAGCAAGTTCCAGAACCACGCCAAAAAACTCCCTAACCGGTCGTCTGAAATTCTAGAGAAAATTCTATAGAAAAACAGCATTTGTCGAGAGATTCTGTTGCCTGCAGCTACTCGCAGGAAAATAGCTTCGAAAAAAGCACCTGCTGGCAGCTCCCGGCAGCAAAAAACCATGGCTCTAAAGAACGAGCAAGTTTTAGAACCACGCTAAAAAACTGCCTAACGTGTCGTCTGAAATCCTGGAAAAACAGCTTTTTTCGAGAGAGTCTGTCGCCTGCAGCTGCTCGCAGGTGGAGGCTGCTGCTGCTGATGCCGGTACAATAGCTTCGAAAAAAGCAGCTCCCGGCAGCAAAACACCATGGCTCTGAAGGACGAGCAAGGTCCAGAACCACGCCAAAAAACTCCCTAACGTGTCGTCTGAAATCCTAGAAAAACAGCATTTGTCGACAGATTCTGTTGCCTGCGGCTGCTCGCAGAACTGGTGGCGGCGGCTGCTGCTGTGTGTCGTTGAAATCCGGGAAAAACAGCTTTGTTCGAGGAGAGTCTGTCGCCTGCAGCTGCGCGCAGGTGGCCGGGTGATTGCTGATGACGGTTACAAATAGCTTCGAAAAGCAGATCCCGGCCAGCAAAACACCATGGTCCGAAGGACGAGCAAGTTCCAGAAACCACGCAAAAAACCGCCCAAACGTGTCGGTCTGAAATGCTAGAAAAAATGTGCTTAGAAAAAAAAACAGCAAAAAAACAGCATAAGGACACAGCATAAGAAAAACAGCATTTGTCGATTGTAAGAGTATTTCTGTTGCCTGCGGCTGCTCGCAGAACTGGTGGCGGCGGCTGCTGCTGCTGATGCCGGTAAAACAGCTTCGAAAAAAGCAGCTCCCGGCAGCAAAACACCATGGCTCTGAAGGATGAGCAAGGTCCAGAACCACGCCAAAAAACTCCCTAACGTGTCGTCTGAAATCCTAGAAAAACAGCACATTGTCGAGAGATTGTCAAGAGATTCTGTTGCCTGCGGCTGCTCGCAGGACTGGTGGCGACGGTTGCTGCTGCTGATGCCGGTAAAACAGCTTCGAAAAAAGCAGCCCCCGGCAGCAAAACACCATAGCTCTGAAGGACGAGCAAGGTCGAAAGATTCTGTTACCTGCGGCTGCTCGCAGAAGTGGTGGCGGCGGCTGCTGCTGCTGATGCCGGTAAAACAGCTTCGAAAAAAGCAGCTCCCGGCAGCAAAACACCATGGCTCGGAAGGACGAGCAAGGTCCAAAACCACGCGAAAAAACTCCCTAACGTGTCGTC